CGTGGAGTCTGGCCATGGGGTCATGTAGAGTTGGGCACAAGTAAACAATTCAACAAGAACAATCTCCTCTAGAAACTATCACAATGCCTGGCCCCTGGGGAGTAAGGGGGAGATTTATATATAATATATACACGGGGGAAGATTTATTTACACACACATACATACATACATACGTACATATATATGTGTGGGTATCTATTATCTGTATCTATCTGTCTGTTTATCTATGATTGGATTGGAATAGGGCATTGCTGGTATGGAAATATAACAACTCTCCTGTAACTAATATTATTAGAGTGTGTTGTGGGATACAGAGATGTTAAATTACTTGCCTGTGATCACAGAGCTAGGATGGGTCAATCAATCAATATACATTTAGTAAGTACTTAATTATTTACCAGACACTGTTAGGACTTGAATCAGGACTTGAACCCAAATCTTCTGACTCCAGGGTCAGCTTTCAGTTGGCTATGCCATAGTGCCTTTTCATCTATACTTCTCTAAAAACTAAAAGAAACATACTCACAGATTGAGGTTGCCAGTTAAATTATCAGAACAATTGGTTCTTTTATAAAAATGAAACTGATTAAATTTCTAATTTAATTGAAATTTGGGCAATACCATGTTAATCCTTATGGCAAACAGAGAGTCTTTACTCTTTGAGAATTTAAGATTAAGGGAAAGTGTACAGGAATTCATTGCTGAATAAAAACAGAGAGCTGTTGCATGAATAATAGATAGTAATTGCTGACATTTATGCGTGCTTATAGGTACCAAGTGCTGTGCTAAACATTTTATAAATAGTATCTCATTTGTTTCTCACCATTACCCTGGGAGGCAGGGCCTATTATTATCCCCATTTCACAGATGAGGAAACTGAGGCAGACAGAAGTTAAACGATTTGCCCACAGCTAGTAAGTGCCTGAGGCTAGATTTGAATTTCAGTCTTCCTGACTCCAGGTCCAGTGCTCTGTCTACCACGCCACATAGCTGCGAACTCATGTACATGTACATTATGGCAGTTGGTGATAGGTAGGTCATAGGGTTAACTTGGGGAGAGTAGATTAGGAGTTTAATATTCAGGTCAGATTAGGCAGCTCTTCTCTGGTCTGTCTTGTATATTAGTTGTGAAAGATAGAGAGAAAGAAAGAAAGGAAAGAAAGAAAGAAAGAAAGAAAGAAAGAAAGAAAGAAAGAAAGAAAGAAAGAAAGAAAGAAAGAAAGAAAAAAGAAGGAAGGAAGGAAGGAAGGAAGGAAGGAAGGAAGGAAGGAAGGAAGGAAGGAAGAAGAAAGAAAGAAAGAAAGAAAGAAAGAAAGAAAGAAAGAAGTAAAAAAAACCCCAACTATGTTGTACTGGTGATACAAGTTGAAAACCAAGGCAATCCCTCCTCTCAAGGAGTTTATATTCCAATAGGAAGAGATAACATATACAACAGGTTTTAGCTTCAGGTTGGATGGAATATATATGGTATAGGGCAAAGCATCTTCATATCATTTCTATTGATAAAACCATATCTGTTTCTACTGCTGAGTCTTTGTTGGTACCAAGGACTTACATGGCAAAAAACTTTCTTTTCATGTTTAATATATTTTATTTTCCCCAATTACATGTTATAACAGTTTCCTGATTTTTTAATAGGTATGGCTGTTGGGAAGTTGGTAGGAGGAAAGCAGCAGTGCTTGAAGAAGGAGTTCCCAGGTCTCATCTTCACAAGGGTTACTTTCCAGGATCATGGGTGGGGGACCTGTGGTTTAGGGGGTGCTGCTATTCTTGGGGCTCTTGGGTTGACCTTCCTATCTTTGGCAGTTGGTTGGTGGTTAGTGTTGGTGGTAGAGGATATGGCAGACTACTCTATCCAATGTAACTTTTCTAGGAGCCAAAGCACATATGTAAAAAAATAAAATGACCAGGTTAGCAAGATAATTCTAGAATACTAAAACTGGACGTTGCTATAGAGGTATTATGTACCTGATTTCTCCTTGATTTATAAAAACTACTTAATTATGGAAAATAATTCATTCTTTTTATAAACCTTTATTATCTTTATTAATTATCTTTATTATTTACTGCATGCAAAGCCCTGTGTTAGATGTTTCAATATTTGCAAAGTTAAATAAGAGATGGCCCCTACCCTTCCAAAGTTTATAGTAGTCTCTGTGATAAGATATATGCTATAAATTAGAACATAGATGCATAGAAGTATAAAGTTCACTGAGATCAGATGAAGAAGAAATCACTTTCAAAGTAGAGGGGGGAGTTGGAGATTGAAAAATCAAATTAATCTCAGTGTCTTAGGGAAGAGAGAATGCTCTCTCACTCTTTCTCTTTCATACAGATTTGATAAAATTTTAATCAGAATTTTCAGTTTTAACTTTCATCAACAAATACAAATATTTAAATACATAAATAAGAAAAAAATCAGTCATAGTGTACAGTAGCAATAAACAAAGCTAATGCAATCATAGGCTGCATTAAGAGAAGTATAAATTCAGGGCCAAGTATGTAAACTCTCACTGCATCTTCATGTGGCCAAATTACATTTGGAGTATAGCATTCGGTTTTTGGTGCCACATTTACAAAAAGGCTAAACTGAAGAGCATTCAGAAGAGGACGGCTAGGTTGGTGAAGAGCGTTGAGATCATGTGACATGATGAGAAGTTGACAAACTGAGGTTGTTTAGCCTGAGGAAGAGAAGATTTAGGATCACAACATAGCTTTTTCAAGAATGTGAGGTCTTTTGACATAGGAGTAAGACTTTTCTTTTCTTTTCTTTTTTTGACTCCAAGGATCAAAACTAGGAACAATGGATGGAAATTCTAGAGAGGCAGGTTTAGACTTAATGGGAATTATCTAAGTGCCTTTGGGAGGTAATAGGTTTACCTCTCGCTCAATGTGTTCAAGCAGAAGCTTGGGTGATGACCTTTTGAGTGTATTATTGAGTCTTACTCAGTTTTAAGTTGGCATGTACCGATGGCTTTTGAAGTTCCTTCCAGATCTGAGATCCTATGACAAACAAACAGCAAAAGTAATTATAAATTATATAATTCCAACTCTTGGCACTGCGGTCTGGTTCTAGACTTTTTTTCCAGGCTGGTTACTCATTAATCCCATTGATGAACTCTGTGATCCAACCAAATTGGCATACTCACTCTTCTTAGCTTTTAGGAGCATAGATTTAGAGTTAGAAGGGGTCTCACAGAGACCATCTGTTCCAACCCTGTCACTATATAGGTGAAGAAACTGAAGTCCAGAGAGGTTCAGTCATTTCCCTACCATCATGCAGTAAGAATCACGAGTGGGATCTCTGCACTGGTTGCCCCTCCATGTCCTGCTCACTCCCACCTCTTAGGACTCTTGGCTTACTTCAAGGATCTGCTAAGATGCTACTTCTCTTAAAAAGTCTTCTACGATATTTCCATTTGTTAGTTTACCTCCCGTATTACTTTGTATTTTACAATTTATTTTAACATAGTTTTATTTCCTTGCTTATGAACATGTATGTCTCCCTAAAAATGTAAGCTCCTTGAGGGCAGGGGACTATATGGACTTTGCATTTGTATCTCTAGCACCTAGCACAGTTGCTTAATAAATTTGTAGCTTTTGCTTTCTTCTTTCAACTAGAATATGTAGTTTTCATAGAGGCAAAAAGAGAGAATCCTTAGTTACACATCAATAAAGAGAATTTAAAAGTATTGTATTCCTTGCCCTGCTAACATTTGAGACTGTGTGTCCCCTCCACCTTCCAAAATTCAGTTAGTACTTCTTCTATTTCCTTGGTCTAGCACAGTGGGCTGGGCATTTGGGAGAAGAAATTGAAGGGCTATAATAGTTCCTAAGAGGGGTGTCATTATCTCAAACGCTATAGTGATGGATAATGGTACCATTTGAAGTACGATTAATAGTAAATAAGGGCCCTGCTCTTTTGTGTTTGTAGAATAGGCCATAGGTTTTGGTCTACTAATTGTCCATCTTTATTTAGAGTTCTTTAATATGTAATTGTTCAAAGGGGTAAAGAATTAAGGTTTCCATTGGTGGATAGAATGTTAGTTATTGCTAGGCATTGATGCTGGAGAACCACGGCTAGCAGTGTGTGTAGGCAAAGTGAGGGAAATGTGGAAAAGAAGAGGAATGAGTGTTAGGAGGGGTGGTGCTAGGGAGGAAACATGTGGTGTAAGGAGATTGCTGAGTGTTGAGTAGTTCGAAGAGGCCATGGCAAAGAAAAATAAGGCACCATACTTAGCTTCTGAGATCAGTGGTCTAGTCTGAGGCTTGATGTTGTCTAGCAGCACATTCCTATGTCTGTCTGAGGTATGCTGTTGTGAGACAGAAGATGTATGATTGCATTAGATTACCACCCTTATGCAGGTAGGTGGTTTGAAGCTGTATTGCTCAAAGTACTTTGTCTTCACCTTTGCTTTTAAGATGTAGCTTGCAATGATAGGTGCTCAATAAATCTGTATAGAATATAACTGAATTGTAGATTTGTATTGATAATATAGATCTAAATTGTATTATTGTTGATTATGGTTGCAAAGTCCAGCCAGTTGTCTGTAACTCCTCCATGGTGCTTTAGTTTAAAAAAAAAATTAAAAAAAAAACATTCTGCTTTCAACTTTTATCCAGAAATCTGTTCTCCTCATTGTTGACTCTGGTTCTGGCAACCTTTGGTGTTGTGGGTGAGCAGGTGCAGAAAAGTATTTTGCTTTCTTAGTCTGTTATGAAGAACTGGCTCTTATCAACATTTTGGCCTGCTGGTGTACAAGCAGGTGACTAGATGAGAATGTTCTCCAGCTGAGAGTGAACAAGTTGTGGCAGATAAATGCTGGCAAGGCTCTTTTTCATCTCCTGCACTGATAAACTGAGAGGGAGGCATTTTATCAATATCAACAATGCCATTGTTGTGTACACGAAAGTTTGTGTCCAAAAGCCTCTCCATTGCTGGACCTAGGTGCCAAGTGTATGTTCTTATGGTTCTCTGTTTTTGTTCCTCCTGTATACAGATATCAGTATTATCTACAAGTCAAAAAAGATGTCCTGGATGGGCGCTTGCGATCTTCCCTGGAACAGGGTGTCCGACTAGCTGGCTTAGCTGTACAAGGTAAGGTCCACCGCATAGTGACCCATCCCATGGGGGTACTCTGTGGCTGAAATCATGGTTTATTTTTTAATTTTTTAATGGCTTAGTTTTTCTATGTTTTTAGTGGTAGAAAGAAAGCTTACACACCCATTCCCAGTCATTCTTGTTTCCATACAATCTTGACCTAAACTAAGCTAAAAGGGGAAAGTTAAGGCTCTGTCTTTGGGGAAAGAATTTTCTAGAACTTTTGAAAATCAGTTTTGCTTTTGTAATCCTCCTTGAATTTGGAAAACTCACAGCTTTAATTCTGCCATTAATTAAAGTTTCATTTCAGTGTCTCTGGCCCATTTTCTCATGCTTATTCTATGTCTGTGTTTTGTGGGTTTATAATAATTTAAGTTTGATGACCATTAAACATTAAAGTGTAATTTCCTCTAAGCTAATTACAGAGATAAACAGAAACATATGACTGTTATGCAAGAAGATAGACACATAATAGGGTAAATTTATGTTTCAGTCTGTCCCGTGTAGATGGATCAACATTTTGTTGCATCTGTGTATCCAAAAATATATATGCTTTACTCTATTGAATGGTGACTTGCCTTTACCTTTTTTTTTTAACAAAATTTGGAAATGAACATGTAATATTCCTTTTTTATTTTTTAAAAAAGCATGCTTTCTTTTTTACTTATTATATTTTTTATATTTTTATCATATCATATTTTGCTGTATGAGCAAAGCAGAATTGAAACAGCCCAAAGGAAATGCAGGATGCGCAAATTTAGAAAATCCACCGCAAATGTTCACACAGATTATTTGTGCCTGACCTGTGGTACAGCATTCCGCGCTTGTATTGGTCTGATCAGCCACAGTCGGACACACTGAAGCTTGACTCTAGCATAGTGATGTAATTTTGATCTTCTTCGAGAATTAGGGACAACAACCAACCAATTATATTTAAATAGAATTAATGTGCAAGAATAAGTCCATCAGTAGCTCATTTATTACTATCGGTGGCATCTTGAACTTTGGACATTAGTTTTCAAGAATGGAGATTGTGCCTTGAATCTCATTCCAAATACAGGACTGAATTTGAACCTTAGGGTTAGAATACCTGCAATATGTGATTTCCCTCTGACTTCCTGTACTTCACTGTCAAAGCCGTTTTGGGGTTCTCTTGGGCTTAGTGTTCCCTGTTGGGCATCTCATCCAGTCCCATGAGTTTCTTGAGTTACCCTTAGGTTAGTATTTTAAAGTATCTCTACCTTATTAAATAAGTAGGAAGCTGGGAAGGTTAGCTTCAGTCATAGTGTTATGTAAATGGCTACATTCTCATGGATTCTGGAAAGGTGTGTACAAAATAAATTGAGACAATAGAAAAATAATTTAAATATGAATGTTGACAGCCTCGCTCAGGCCTATGCCATCATGAACATAGGTGTGCTACTCAGTTGAGACAGTGGTAATGGTATTCTACCACTTCCTTTCCTATGCAGTTTTTTCTTTCTCTTTTTCCTTATTTTCCTCCACTGTCTGGTTGCTACTTTCCTTTCTTCCTGCTCTCTTTATTTCTCCTCTCTATGCCTTCCTCCTTTCCCCTGCCCTAGTCTCCCAATAATTTTTTGGCCTGGTGTGTGTGTGTGTGTGTGTTGGCATCTTTGGATTTTGATGACATTTAGTACTAAAGAGGTTTCTGATAATAGTTCTTTTATAATATAAAATAGCATGCAGTGGATATGGTGCTGGGCCTCTAGGTAGGAAGACCCAAGCTCAAATCCAACTCAGACACTAGCTGTGTAATCTTCGGCAAATCACTTAATCTATTTTTGTCTCAATTTTCTCATCTGTAAAATGGGAATGATAATAATAGCACCTACCTCCCAAGGTTGTTGGGAGGATTAAATGAGATAATATTTGTAACGCCCTTAGCACAGTGCCTGGAACATAGTAAGTTCTATATTAAAACTGCTGTTATTATTGTAGCTCACATTTTGATTGCCCTTTAAGATTTTTAAAGCATTTTACTCACAGCAATTCTGAGTTAAGTAATATTAATGATATTAGACCAGAATTACAGAAGACAAACAGACCGAGAGAGGTTTCATGTCTTGTCTGAGGTCACACTGATAAATGCCTGAGGCAGGATTTAAAGTGAGGTTTTCTGACACTCATGGTAGCGCAGAAGACACTAATAAAGCTTTTCATTTCACATAGAGGAGACTCTAAGAGAAAAAAAAGAGTTATATTTGTTCAAACACTCAGTTACAGTCTCTTTAGTAGAGCTGTGAATCCAATTTTAGAAGTAGAAGGGACTTTCAGCTTTATCTGGTCCCATGTCTCCATTTTACCCATGAGAAAATGGAGAACCACAAAATTAAATGTCTTGCCCTAAGACGTTTAATGTAGCTAGTTAGTGGTAGGGTTAGAGCTAGCCAGTTCTCCTAACTCAGCCCTTTAGACTATGCTGCCTCATGCATGGAATCCTCCGCCATTGCCTTTTCGTTTCCATTAAATTCAACAATCCTACCTCACCCCATTCCCCTTCCCCCTGCCCCCCAACCCACCTTTCCTCCAAATTTCCCTATTTCTTTTGAAGGTACATCATCCTTCCAGTCTTCCAGGTCTGACTCTTCCCTCTTTCTCCCCTTACCCCTCCCATCCCCTCATATCCAGTCAGTTGTGAAGGCTTGTCCTTACCTCCTCAGTGCATTGCTATCCTCCCCTTCTCTTCACTCACCCAGCCTGTACCTTAGTTTGAGCCCTCATTATGTCTCAACAACACTGTTGGCAATACCTCTTAATTGGCTTCCTCCATCTCTGGTTTCTTTCCTTTTTAGTACCTCCTTTGCACAGTTGTCATATTAATATTCTTAAAACACAGCTCTAACTATGCCATCCCCTTGCACCAAAATCTTCAGTGGCTCCCCATGATCTTTAAGACAAAATAACAGCTCCTAAGCCTGGCATTTAAAACCCTCCACAATCTGGCTGCCACCTACATTTTCAGGCTTGTGCCTTTTGCTGCGGCTTTTCAGCCCACTCTCTTTTCTAGTCACATTACACAACATTTGACCTCCCCCCTCTATGCTTTTGCATAAATACTCCCCTGTGTCTGTATTGCACTGCTTCCTCACTCTTGTCTCAGAATTTTAGCTTTCTTCAGAGCGCAGCTCACATGCCACCTCCTGCTCATGGTCTTTTATTGTTGCCTCAGTAATTAGAATTTTCTTCCTCTAAAAATCATTTTGTTATTTTGTATAACCATATTTTTGTTGTTGTTCAGTTGTTTCAGTTGTGTCCAAATCTTGATGACCCTATTTGGGGTTTTCTTGGAGAAGATAAGATACCAGAGTGGTTCTTTTCCAGCTTATTTTACAGATGAGGAAACTGAGGCAAACAGGGTTAAGTGACTTGCCCAGGGTCACACAGCTAGTAAGTGTCTGAGGCCTGATTTGAACTCAGGAAGATGAGTCTTCGTGACTTCAGGCCCAGCACTCTATCTACCATGCCGCTTAGCTGCCTATAAAACTTTATACATACATACTTATTCACATACACACATATATATATACTACACACACAGACACATATATATACTACACACACAAACACACACACTTTATACATGTACACTTATTCACATACACACATATGCATTCACCACACACACACACATGCACAAACTTTATACTTAATACTTATTTACATACACACATTTGCATACACTACACACACATATATAAACTATATGTACACACTTATTCACATACACACTATGCATATGTCACACACGCGCACATGTGCGCTTGCACACACACACACACACACACACACACACACACACAGAGTCACTCACACTATTTACTGATATAGTACATATTGTATCCCTACAGTGGAAAGTAGGTTATCTGAGCACAGGTCCACTTTTCTTTTTTTAATCTTTGAATCTCACTGCCCATTATAGTCAGCTTTTTCCTAAGAATTCTCATTGTATAATTAGAAAAATATTTTTAACAGCAGTGTTAGCCATTTGATGAGATAGGCTCTCCAGTTCTCTGAACTTGAGAATGGGTTGACAGACAGGTGAAAGTCTGTTATCCTTGAACACATCCCACCCAACACGTAAGACATGCTGTCTTTGTAGGTGGCATGAGTAATAAACTCTGCTTTCCCTTTGTATACATGTGCTTATTTGAAAGCCATCTGAATTTTTTTATACTTTTACATGAACTCTAATAAGATGCTGAAATAAAATCTTTAAATTTATTTCTGGGTAGAGAGGGAATGGATTAAGAACTACTGTTTCTTTGTGGTATAGACCTACTTGATTCTCTTCATGTATGTTAGAACATACCTCTGGGAGGTGAAAACAGGACAGAACAGCATTTTTGGCATCTCTCAACATGTGAAATTGTCTAGGAGGTGTAAAGATTTCTAAGGGTGCTTGCCAAGGGTGATTTATGGTGGGGATTTCCAGCTTCAGAAATATGAAAAGTTATGAATGGTGTTTGTTCTTCAGCTCTCCAAATTAGAGTGAAGTTTGAAAGCCCCCCCTGGCAAGTTATTCTTAAGATATGAATAGTTACATATCTAATAAATTGATAAATATAGGCTTGACTAAATTTTTTTTTAAAGAAAGCCTTTTAAAAAATTCCTACTCTCCTCATACTATTAAATATAAGCACGTGCATACTTTGATGTTTAGCTTTTTGGTAAGCATAAGTAGCAGCTATTTGTGAACATACATTTAGCACCATTTTCATATAATAATCAAGAAATAGAAGGAAGTGAGGGGAAAAAATTCAGGTCATAAATGGAATGAGTTAGTGCCTGGTTGAGCAAAGCAATGACTAGCTTTCTTGTTTTTTGTTTTGTTTTGGCTAGGCAATGGGGTTAAGTGACTTGCCCAGGGTCACACAGCTAGTAAGTGTTATGTGTCTGAGGTCAGATTGGAACTCAGGTCCTCCTGAATCCAGGGCTGGTACTCTATCCACTGTGCCACCTAGCTGCCCCCAATGACTAGCTTTCTATTCATGACCATGGAGTTTTAGTATTTCAGTTTCCTCATCTGTAAGATGGGAATAATAATAGCATCTATCTCCCAGGGTTGTTGTGAGGATAAAGCACTTCACCAAGCTTAAAGCTCTAAACAAGATGTCCCAGAAGTCTTGGTGCAGGTTTAAGCTCAGCAGTTTAAACCTGCACCAAGACTTCTGGGACACCTTGTCTAAATGCAATCATTGCTGTTGCTGCTGTAGTTGTAGTTGTTGTTGTTGGTATTTCATCTTTCATTGATGCTGAGTCAGCACTCTAGAATGGGATAATGGGGGTTTTAGCCTAAAGAGAGAGGTACTGATTTGATTTCGTTGCTGCTGTTTAAAAAATGCATTCTTGTAATACTTAATTAAAGAAGCCATCTATTCCTTTTTTGTTCACTGAAAAAAAAACGACTGAAAACAAAACTCTTCCCTGGAAATCTTAATTAGAAGTAAGTTTTTAGATTTGTATTTTCCCCCTCATCTTTCAGTCCATTATGTTAAACAACATTTTCTTTCTTTCTTTTTTTTTTTTGTTCAGCTGATTTTGGGGACTACAATCAATTTGAATCTCAAGATTTCCTCCGAGAATATGTGTTATTTCCTATGGTGAGTATATTTTCCCACTTTTTATTTTGCCTTTTGTTTCCAGATGGACTTGGATCCTTCCTTTGAAAAGAGAAACTTTTCAAAAGAGAAACACAGAGCATGATATGTGTGTTTTCTTGGCAAGCCCGTAATACTCTTTCAGAGCTGGGATGCTCTTTAAAAAAAAAAAGCATTGTTTGGGGGAAAGGGTAGGCATGGTTAGGATAGACAGGATGGGACTTGCAAAGTATCCATTTCTGTTGTGAACTGGAGGTGTGGCTGGGTTCTAGTACCAAGGGGGATGCCTATAGCTACAGAGGATGGAGGAAGCTGCCAACAGTAAGGAACAGATCTATCCTTTGTCAGAAAAATTGAGAACATTTCCTATTAAAGAAGATCAGTGGTATTCTTCCTAATGGAATCTCGTTTTATATATTTTCTAGTTTCTAGCAAAGGTTTTTGGATGTATTGGGTACTTAGCCAATGTTAAATTGTACCCCCATACAAAAAGGAACTGACATCATAGACAACTTTATATGCATCATTGTTTTTTGGTCTAGAATCATAAAAAAAGTAGGGTTTTTTTTGTTTGAAAAGATTCTGGAGACCATCTAGTATAGTCTTCTATGATAATCTAGAGTCACTTCTACAAATTCTGGAATACCTAGCATCTAGTCTGTTTGAATGTAATGGAAAGCACGTAGATAGAAGCACTGTCACTAATTTGCTGTGACATTCTAGATGTCCCTTAATCTATCTGCATCTCAGTTTACTTGTCCATAAAATTAGGAGGCAGGACAAATGATTTCTGTAACATTCCTTCCTGCTCTGAAATTTTAAGATATTGTAAAGTATTCTGACCAGAGCAAAGAATAGTAATAGGATAAAGCTGCCTTTCTCTGGGTGCTATATATTTGTATTAATGACTGACATGATCTTACTTTTTGGGAGGATATCTCTGTTGCACCCTTGACCCAATGGAACTCAGGGTCCACTAACAACTTCTTCCTCAAATTTTTTCTTCAATAATGAACTGCTTTGTAGCCCTGTCCTTCCCATCCTGTATGTGTTGATGTTTTGGACTGCAGGGCTGAATCTTACATTTATCCCTTTTAACTCTTATCTTTTAAACAATAACGTAGTCAATAGTGATTACAACCTTTGAGTTTGTGACTGTGTCTGAAAACTTAACACAAACTGTCAGCACAGATGCTGGCACTTGATCTAAATTGTGGAGGCCTTTTCATCAGTAGTCGCTGTTCTTTAGGCATTGATTTTTTCAGGACATTCTACTAGGCAGTAACTCCAGGTGTGGTGTGGATATATGTATATTGAGGTGTCCCCAGCACTTAGCACAGTGCCTGACAACACATAGTAAGTGCTTAATAAATGCTAGCTGACTGACTCCCTACTAGCTGTACATTCTTGAAGCCCATTTTGAAACATAGAGCAAAGGCAGGGACAATGATTGATTAACATATTTTGTATAGTGCCTTTAATGTTATGTTCCAGGGGACATCTTAATAAATTACTGGGTGGTGATTTTAAACTCTGCGTGTTATAAACATATTTCCTAGTTCTAATCAGAACATTGAGATAGAAAATTCATGATGCTGGTGAACTAGTGAAAGGCTATAATTAAGTAGTGTGAGTATATGTGAAGTTTCAGTTGTTTTGGACTGAACCTGTAATTTTATCAGTATTTTATCAGTATAGAGATCTCCTGGTGAAACACTTACTGTACCAATGCACAGCCAACATCTGCTCTCCAATGTGTAGGCTTAGAAAATTGGCTGGGATACTAAGAACTCAAGTAACTTGACCTGGGTCACATAATCAGTCTGTGTCAAAGGTGGAACTTGAACCCAAGTCTTCCTGACTCAGAAGCCAGATTTGTGTCCTCTATCCCACGCTCCCTCTCCTGTCAGGCAGACAAAGAGATGCACACACTTGTTAGGGGGAGAAGACGGTACAGATTTTAGTTCCATTTGATCTTTTGAGGTTCCTAAATGTGTCATGGCATTTCTTCAACAGTTGAAAGAACAAAGTTAAATGGATGGTATATCCCATAGGTGGGTGGTTATGTATAGACATGTACCCTGCCATTTTTCATTAGCATAGTACCACTCTCACATTTTTCTGTGGCAGAGACACATAGCAAAGGGAGGCCCAGGAGTTCTAGACACAGACAGTTTAGCTAAGTACAGTAGCTGACTTTGTTCTTCTTGTTGTCATTTAAAGCCTACCTCTGAGGTTTTGTAAAATAGTTTCTCCAGCCTCCAACACTGCTGTATTTCTTTTATTCTCTTAAACTCTTTCTGTGTTTCACAAAATGATTGCAGAGATACGTACACATCCAGCTGACTTTGTAAAATGAGTAGTATATTTGCTACTCAGAGAAATCTGAACATGCTCTAGGATTTGGAAGCTGCCATGACACAAACCACTTTAGTCAAAGGATGCAAAGCAAGCATGTTGAAGTTTGAAGGTTGAAGTGTATACAGTAAGAGTTTCCAAAATCTCTGTATCTCTATGTATAGGACAATTTCCAATAGTTGACCTATATTTATCCTCCCCCTTACCCTTACCCTGAAAGGCAGCATAGAGTAATTGATGGAATGCTAAGCTTAAGTCAGGAAGATCTAAGTAGAAATCCTACCTCTCAGATTTATTAGTTGTTTGACCATGGGAAAGTCAATCTCTTTGGGTCTCAGGCGACTCTCTGAGACTGTAAGATGTGGAAAGATTATAATCTGTGTAGGTGGAAGGAGCCATATGGAAGATTTGTATCTCCTTCACTAGTAAGTTGTGAAATCCATGGCTTTACTATTCAGTTTTCTTGCTTCAATTATCTTGGCTATTTCCTGGCAAATTCTATGTATCCAGGATGATTCTTGGTAATCATTTAATTTGATCAGACTGTTTTGGTTCTCTCCTGGTATTCCCTTCAGAACTCAACATTGAAATGAAGAACTAAGTGATAATAGGTCTTCTATTTCCCACTTGGTGTAAGGGTGGGAAGAATCTGGAGCAAAGAGCTAGAGTTCGGCTATGACTTATGAGCTTGACTTTGACTGCTTGGGGCAACATTATACTATAGTGGAAGTGCTGGACCTGGAGGTGGGGGAGACCTGATCGTGAATCTTGACTTTGACACTAGCTGTGGGACTTTGGATAAGTCACTTAGCCTCTAAGAGCCTCATCTCTTTCTACATCTGTAAAATGGGCGTGATAATTATGCCTAGGAAGGAGAAAAGCTCACTGTATCCTCACATGGTCATGCAACATTTGGAGAGTTCTATTCTTCATGTCACATTTAAAGAAGGACATTGATAAATGTGAGCAGGGCAGCCTGGTTGTTGAAGGGTCTTAAAATCATGCCACATGAGGATAGATTGATTTAGTTTGAAGGACAGAAGACATAAGGGGAACATAATTGCTAACTTGGAGAATAATACCCATTTGTTTCATAAGGTTGTTGTGAAGGTGATAGAATCACAGGATTTATAGAGCACCAGTCCTGGAGTCAGGAACACCTGAGTTCAAATCTGGCCTAAGACACTTGACACTTACTGGCTGTGTGACCCTGGGCAAGTCACTTAACCCCAATTGCCTAAAAAGGAAAAGAAAATCTAGAATCACAGGATTTTAGAGCTAAAAGAAACCTCAGTGGTCATCTACATTAGCCCGTAACTGAAAATTGTTCTTTATGCAGTCTCTGCAACAAATGGTCATATATCCTTTGCTTGAAGACCTTTGATGATGAGAGTGACCTCAGTTATCTCTCAAAGCAGATTCCAGCTTTGAACAGTTTTCCTTGTAATAACCCTAAATTTTGTAGTTTGATCACATGTGATCATGGCTTTAGTATTTTTTGTTTGTCTCTTTGTTTTTTGGTGAGGCAGTTGGGGTTAAGTGACTTGCCTAGAGTTACACAGCTAGTGAGTGTTATGTGTTTGAGGCCACATTTGAACTCAGGTCCTCCTGACTCCAGGGCCAGTGCTGTATCCACTGCACCACCTCGCTGCCCCTTGTTTTTTATACTTTAGAGTATGGTAATTGCCAGTTATTAACTTTTTTAAAATGTTGGATTTACTGATCTATTTATATGTGGTATTCCCAAGTAGAATGTAAACTCCCTGAGAGTAGGGTGTATTTTTCATCTTTATGAATAAATATAATACCTAGTATCATGCCTTTTATATAACAGATGCTTAATTGTTAAATTGGAAGTTATTTACATTCACTTTTTAAAATTAACATTTTTTTCAGTCAACAAAAATCTGCCTTCTCTTTCTCCTACTTTTCCTTTCATCCTCTATTAAGGAAAAACAAAATCCTTGTTACAGACATGTATAGCCAAGCAAAACAGATTGCCTTATTGGCTGTATTCCTCCTCCCCTGTCCCAAATGTTTCAATCTGCCTCTGTCTATCCTCTAACTGTCAGAAGGTGGGTACCATATTTCATCATGAGTCCCTTGGTATTGTGGTTCACCATTGTGTTGATCGGGGTCCCTAAGTCTTTCAAAGTTGTTTGTCTTTACAATCTTGTTGTCATAGAAATTGTTTTCTTGGTTCTATTCAGTTTACTTTTCATTAGTTCTTACAAGTCTTCTCAGGTTTTTCTGAAACCATCCCTTCCAACATTTCTTACAGCACAGTAATTTTCAATCCCATTCGTATCCTTTAAGTTGTTTAACCATTCCTTAATTGATGGGAGTCCCTTAAGTTTTCAATTCTTTGCTACCACAAAAAAAAATTGCAGCTACAAATATTTTTGTACATCCTTAGAGCTTTACTTAGGACTAATCCCTCACTTCTGGGCTCATCTTCCTCAGTTCATATCTGGTCTCAGACATTTACTAGCTGTGTGACCCTGGGCAAGTTACTTAACTCTATTTGCCTCAGTTTTCTTATCTGTAAAATGAGCTGGAGAAGGAAATAGCAAACCACTCCAGGATCTTTGCCACAAAAACCTCAAATAGGGTTGTGGAGAGTAAGACATGATTCAGCAACAATAATCCCTCACTTAATCTACCCTCCTTCCTATTTCTTCCTTTCCCTTTTCTTTCCTGATTCACTATTGAGCAAAATGTGTCTCTAACCAACTCGTGTGTGTGTGTGTGTGTGTGTGTGTGTGTGTGTGTGTGTGTGTTTTATTCCTTTCCTTGGACAATTTAGATGAGAGTGTGGTTCAAGTGTGTTTCTTCCCCCCTCATCCCTTTCTTCTTATTTGTATAAACTTCTACTCATGTACCTCAATTATATGAGATAATTTTCTCTTTCTCCGTCCCTTTTCCCTCTCACAGTGTATTCATCTTCCCCTCTCTTTCCATTCTTGTTTTAATATCATCAACATAATAGGCCTCCTAGGCCCTCTGGATAATTAGATTCCCATAGATGATGGTAAGGTTCTGATGAGACACATGTATTATCTCATTTTAGAATGTAAATAGTTTATTCTTGTTCAGTACCTTAAGATTCTTCATTCATGTGTATCTTTTAAATATTTCTCTCGATTACTGTGTTTGTACTTCAGAGTTTCTGTACAACTCTGGTTTTTTCATCAGGAATGCTTAGAAGTCCTCTTTCCTTAAAGATTCATTGTTTTCTGCCTATAGGATTATACTCAGTTTGGTTGGGTAAGTTATTCTTGATTGTAAGCCTATATCATTTGTCTTCTGGAATATCATATTCCAAGCTTTCTACTTCCTTATAATAGTGGATGCTAAATAGTGTGTGGTCCTGACTGTGGCTCCTCAGTACTTGGATTCTTGGTTTCTAGCTGCCTGCATTATTTTCCTCTTCGACCTAGAAGCTCTAGATTTTGACTATAGTGCTCCTGGGAGTATTAACTTGAAATTTCTTTCTAGAGATGACTGCTGGATTCTTTCTAAGAGATTTGAGCAGCTCTCTTTTATAATTTCTTGAAATATAATGTAATTACTCCTGTAATCATAGCTTACAGGTAGTCAATCCATTGGTTCTTAAATTTTCTCTCAAGTCTGTCTGTTTTCCAGGCCAATTATTTTTGCTATAAGATAACTTATATTTTCTTTTATTTTTTTGTTTACTACTTCTTGCTGTCTTAAGAAATCATTAGTTTCTATTCAGTCTGTTTTTCATTTCAGAGCTTGTTGCTTGGGCAAGGCTTTGTACCTCTTATGCCAAGCTATTAATTCCCTTTCCAAATCTTTCTTCCGTAGCTCTTATTTCTTTTCTAAATTTTTCCTCTAGTGCTCTAATTTCGTTTATAAAAACAGTTTTTTGAACTTTTAAAAACTCTTTCTTAATCTCTTCCATGAATTTTAGTTGAACTTGGACACAACCTGTATTTTTCTTTGAAGCTTTGTTCATAGATGCTTTGGAGTCATTCTCTTCTTCTGGGTTTATGTCTTGAGTATTCCTGTGACCATAATAGCTTTTTATGGCAGAAATTTTTTTTGTACTGCAAAAAATTCTTCCAGCCTCCTTCACTTTGAACTTTATGTTAGGGCCAGGCTTTCTGTACTTTTAGAAGGCATGGGCTGAGCTTGTGCTTTCTCAGACCCTTCTACTGCTCTCTTGGGGGGTATTGAGTGTCATGCTATCCTAGTATCTCAAAAATAGCTCAGGCTGGGGACCTGCAAGCTTTTAGTTTTCCCAAAGTAGTCTGATCTGGGGCAAAGCCTGATACCTGCCCTCCCAGGCTGAGCACTGCAAGTTACTAACCTGACTTTGGGTCTGAGCAACAAGTCTGCTGTGGGCTTGCTTCCTTTGGAATTTAGCTGCTAGATTCAGTCACTGTTGTCTTGAGAAGCTTTTGCTGGTTCAGAGTAATAGAACTGCAGATTACCCTTTAGTCTGATAGACCTTTCCTGTGTTTTCTGCTGTAGGTTTCAGACTGGAATGGAGGCTAGAACTGAGACTCCATTCAGCCCCTGGCAGCAGAGCCAAACCGTCAACTATTTGTTTCTGATTTGGTTCCTTGCAAATTCAGAAGCAAGCATGCAACATGTGTGCTGCTTAGGGTCCGTGGCTGCTTCTCACGCTGGAATGCCACCTCTAGGCTTAGGTGCCCTCCCTCATCTGACCTGGATTTGTGACCTGGAACTGGGTAGTGAGTGACAAAGCTGACATTTGGCACCTGCTCCTGTGCGCTGCCGTGAGGTCAGGGCTTTCTGTGCTGAATCCAGGCCCTCTGTTTTCCCTGGTTGCACAAACCTGGCCGGTGCTGAATGCTCCATTCTGCCCCTCCTCCCTTTATTTCCACTGACTTTAAAACAGGAACTAGGGATTGTACTCTTATCTAGCTCAGTTTGTATGATCTCTAGTTAGCTTGCCTGTCTTAATGTTATGGCAAGTGCAAGAATACTTCGCACAATGAAGTTGGTGTGGTTATAGAGAATCTATGAGAAGGCTTCTTCCCTTCCTTCTGTGAGCATATAGTCTGTCTATTTGGTAGTATAAAATATGCATAAATGCATTACCTTACGAAAGCTTATCAGCAAAGTATAAATCACTGTGGTACAAAAGAAACCTTAAGAAAGTTCAGAAATGTATGGCACCAGGTGAGTTTATTCAGGTTGATTTCCTGGAAAGGTGAATTTTGGAGGAGGGCTTTGAATTGGGAAGGAGAGAGAAAGTCAAGATCTTTATGAGGCTTGTTGGTGTCTATTTCTGTAGGACTTGGCACTGGAAGAAGCTGTCTTGGAGGAGCTGACCCAGAAGGTGGCCCAGGAACATAAAGCACACAGGTAAGAGAGAGGTGGGGCAGAGAAAGATGAGAGATGATTGTGTGGAATGAAGGAATGCACAGTGAATGAATAAATGAACAAATAAAAAAATTATTAAGTACATGCTTTGTGCAGAGTGCTAGGCTGAACACTGGGGATACAAATAGAAAAGCAAGACTCTCCCTTTTGTCAGAGAGCTCACATTCTAAAAGGAGAAGGCAACACTTAGATTGTGGTTCATTCAGCTGCAAGTTAGAAGGAAAGGCCTTAGGGTCCAGAAGCAAGACATCTTCTTTAGTGTCATTTCCATTGATAAAACATTATCTGGTTCTATGTTGAGTCTTTTAATGGTGCCACGGACTTCGCTGTTGAGAACTTTCTGTTTTGGATCTTCAGTAGCTTTGGCTACCACAATAAAGCAAATATCACAATAAAGTGAGTCACATGAATTTTTTTGGTTTCTCAGTGCATATAAAAGTCATGTTTACACGATACTGTAATCTATTAAGTGTGTAATAGTATTATGTCCAAAAAAATGTACATACCATAATTAAAAAAATATTTTATTGCTAAAAGATGCTAACCATTATCTGAGCTATCAGTGAATCATAATCTTTTTGTTGGTGGAGGATCTTGCATCGATGTTGACGGCTGCTGAATGATCAGGGTAGTGGTTGCTGAAGGTTGGAATAGCTATGGCAATTTCTTAAGATAAGACAGCAGTGAAATTTGCCACATTGATGGACTCTTTCTTTCACTTGAACACTTAGAAGCCATTTTAAGGTTTTGATATTATTGAATTTCAATGTTGTTGTGGCTCAGGGAATATGGAGGTCCAAGGAGAGGGAGAAAAATGGGGGAATGGTTGGTGGATAAGTCAGAATATACACAACATTTATCACAGTTTTATATGGGTATAGTTTGTGGCCCTACAAAACAATTACAATGCTAACGTCAAAGATCACTGATCACAGATCACTGTAACAGATATAATAATAATGAAAAAGTTTGAAATATTGTAAGAATTACTAAAACATGATGCAGAGACACAATGTGAACACATGCTGTTGGAAAAATGGTGCCCATAAACTTGCTCAATGTAGGGTTGCCCCAAACCTTCAATTTGTTGAAAAAAAAAAAACAAAAAAAACCCCAAAAAACAAAAAACAAGCAATATTTGCAAAGCCCAGTAAAGCAAAGTGCAATAAAACAAGTTACACCTGTATAGGGTTAGAATTAGGAGTAGATCTGGAAATAAGGGTTGAGTTAGAATTATGTTGTGAGAGTAGAGGGGGCTGATGCAGCAGGTAATTTCCAGTCTGTGTCTATACAAATTGCTCCCTTCATGGCCTCAGGGGCCAGGCTAGAATCTGAGTGGTATTCTGGGTGCTCTGCTGTTGAAGGTTATGTTAAACATAGCCTTCAGTAAAATAGATTCCTGATGTCCATACATTAGAGTATATTAACAGTCATATATCCTTACCTCTCATGCCTACTCTTGTGTCATCAGCATAAAAGATGAAGTTAGAGAATCTGTTTCAGCCAGCTTGTGACTCAGTCCTATGTTATTGACTCTTGGAGTTTTAAGTTTTGTTTGAGGTTGTACTTTTAATTATTTTAACCCAGAATCATCCTACTGCTATAGAATTCTTGATGGCCATTTGACTAAAGAGAGGCAAGGGAAAACTTTATAAGCTTTCATCTTGATCCTTTGCATCCAAAAATAATATCTTCATGTTTTCAAGGTAGTGAAGAATTATCCCAAATATAGGAAAATGATTTGTGTTAGCCTTGAGCAGGTTACTTTATTCACAAGCCCATTCGGGATAATTTTTTTAGTATTTGTAGCACAGTGCTCTCCAAGAGAAGATTTTATGTAGCTCCCTTTACATTCTCCTGCTTAGTTAAAATACACTCCAGGGAGGAGAGATTCTTGGAATTATGGAAATGGGTGACCAAGTGGTACATGATATTATTTCCACCTTGTGGTGATTGCTACTCCCTAAACAACAGTTATGGAACTTGGCATCATGAGGGTCAAATCTTCCACTGGCTTCCACTCCTTAACTGTTTCCTCCTTTTGATACTATTCTGGTTTTAGTGGAATCCTGCCAGCGGAAGCTGAACTCATGTATATCAATGAAGTGGAACGTTTGGATGGGTTTGGACAGGAAAGCTTCCCTGTGAAGGTAATGTACTCTAGCTTTTCCTTTGTGTGGCTTTCTCAAAAAGGGTGCAGAAATTTCTAAACTTTAGAGGACAAAGACTGTGCTGTCCTCTCTTGTACATTTTCCATGGTGCTTTGCACAGTGCCTTGCCCAGGATAGATAATCAAATGTTTGTTGAGTGAATCAATGTTAATCGTTTGTGATGAATAAAATTTGAATGTCCAGTTACTACTGTAGAACAATTTCTCTTTCCAATAAGTGAGTAATTTTCATTTGTTCACTAATTCAGCAGACATTTGTTGAAGACTGTGTTCACAGAACTCTTCTAGATGCTGTGAGGGTACAAAAAGGTATAATGTCGTGGTCTCTTTGCCCAAGGATCTTAAAATCCAATATGGAAGGCAAGACATACAGCTATCAAAAATTAAATAGAAATCAAAAGGAAAGAAGTATCATGCATATTTCTCATTTAATCAACAAAATTTTATGAAATATCTATGTAGTGGGCAGTATAGTAGGCCCTAGGGAAGAAGAGAAGAAAAAAAATGTCTCTACCTTTAAGGAGCTCACAGTCTGTTGGGGGAAACAATGTGTACACATATAAGTAAATACAAAATATGGGCAATATAAATGCAAAATAATTTTGTGGGTGGGGAAGAGGAGGCATTAGTCATGGCAGAGGTGGAAAGTGGAATGGAGTCCTCATTTAGAAGATGTCATTTGAGCTGAACTTTAAAGAAAAATAGGGATTCTTAAAGTCAGAGGTGAAGTGGAAATCCATTCCAGGCATGAAGGCCAACCTTTGCCAAACCACAGAGGCAGAAGATGGTATGCTATGTGCAGCATAAAGTTCTGGAAATGGGAATAATAGGCAGTAAACCTGGAGAGGTAGGCTGGAGCCATGTTGTAAAGGGATTGAAATGCCAAAAAGGGGAGTTTGTGTTTTATCCTTGGTCAACAAGGAACCAAGGAGTTTTTTTGAGGAAGAGAGTGACATGGTCCAGTGGGTGCTTTTTAGGTGTCAAATTCAAATAGAAAAAGAGGCCACTAATCTGTACATAAGGAACCCTGCAGGTCTCGTACTGACAGTTTCAAAAGGCACTATTATCTATGTTTTATTGTATTTTTATATATTTTTAAATATTGACCAATTAATTTTTCCCCAAGCAGCTATGTTGATTTTATTATATGTGTTTGAAATTTGGGGAATCCATTAACATCAAGCTATAAGGAATGTGTGTGTGTGTGTGTAGATGTGTATACACACACGCACATATACTTTTAAAAAAATATTATTTATTTCTAACATTCTTTTTGTTTAATTTGAGTTCCAGATACTCTCCTTTCCTCCCATTCCTCCCCTACCCATTGAGACAGTGAACAATACATCAATTATACATGTGAAATCATGCAAAATATATTTCCATATTAGTCATATCCAGCTACATTTTCATCTGATTCAGGCCATTCTTGGGTATGTTGTGGGCTGCATGGGCCATGTGCTTGACACCTTTGGTATAGAAGAAGGACTAGAGAGGGGAGAGACTTGAGGTAGGAAGACCAATTAGCAACTCACTGACAAAGTCCAAGAGACAGGTTATGAGGGCATTAACTGAACAGGGATGGAGGATACTTGTGTGAGTGGAGAGAAGGAAATAGATATGAGAGGTGTTATGAATATAAAATCAACAAGATTTCAAATAAATTGGATTGAGGGAGGAGAGATAAAGAGAAGGAAGAATCCAGGATGACTCTGAGGTTGTGAACCTGAATGCCTGAAAGAATGATGGTCCTTTCATTATTAAGAACATTAGGGAGAAAAGAAGGTTTATGGGCAAAGATAATGATTTCTGTTTTGGACGTGTTGAGTTTGAGATGTCTGTGAAAAATCCAGTTGAAAATATCTAATTGGCATTTGGTGATATAGGACTGGAACTCAAGAGAGAAACTAGGGCTGGATATATAGATCTGGAAGGCATCTGTGTAAAGGTTCTGACTGGATCTGTGGGTGACAATGAGCTCATCAAGAGAGAGGATGTAGAGGAAAGATGGCCTTGGTGTATACCAGTGGTTAAGGGGAAGAAAATGGATGAAAATTCAGCAAAGGAAATGTGGAAGAGTAATCGGGCAGGTAGGAGGAAACTAAATCAAGGTCACTGTCATGAAAACTCAGAGAGTATTGAATATCTAGATGGAGAAGGTACCTAATATGTAGCAGTGGGATGTAGAAAGAGAAGGAGAGAGAAGAGTTCTTGGTGTAGCGGAAAGCACACTGGACTGGAAATTTAAAAACCAGAAAAATACTGGCATGAAAAAACCATGGGTCTTTGTTTTAGGGTGAAGCTTGGGACTATATAGCAGTTTCCCAAAAGCAATCCAAATACACTGTCCTCCTCTTTATTTCTGGGCTCAGTTCATTAGTAATCTTTAGTGTTATTCCAAGATGCAGGTACTGATGAAAAAGCTTTATAGGCTATCTGTCTAAGTGCATTTCATAGTCTGGACAATTGACATTTTTCATTTTGTAGAGGAGATGTCATAAAAAGGGTTATCAAGGAATGCCTGACTGGAAAAAGGAGATGGGCTTATTACATAGCAGCAGTGGTAAGATGACCCCCAGATAGCCTCTCTTCTCCTTTGGTACCCCTATGAGGTCAAGAGATACAGAGAATAGCCCTTAACATGTTGAGTGGGCCTCCTGTGAAGAATTTATGTAAGGAGACAGACAAGAGTTACGCAGGATGGATTGTGACCTGCATCATCAGTAAGAGATTCTTGCAGTGGAATCATAGATTCATTGAAGCATAATGTGAAATAACATAAAACCCAAAACAGCCTAAGATATTCTAGCCACAAATTTACAAAATTTGTCTAAGTGTAAGGAAGCTTTCTAGGTACACAGAACATTTATCAGTCTTCGCTGCCTATTAAATAGATATATACTCATCTGAAAAATGAATGAATTTGTCATTGTTATTTATTTGCTGGGCAGACACATTTCTGTGCAACCATGGCAAAGTAGTAGACAAATGGCTATTTCCCAAATTAATATAAAGTATGAATAATTAAAGATGGCCACCTGGGACTTCGTGGCCAACGTTTGTCATCTTTTTCTCACCTTTTGGCTTATGAGCACTGCTTAGTAGGTAAATGTGGATAAAACTTTTCATGTATTCAATTCTGTGATCCCCTTCCGTTCTGTTTTGTCTGCTCTTGTCACAGTGAAAGGCACCTAATGACAGAGAACACATTTCTTAAGGCAAGAGAATATTGTGCTTCTGAGCTCAAGGCCAAGTTTGTTTTTTCTTTCCACCAGTCCCAGCCCTCTTCCAGTAGGAAAATGGGACTTCATCAGACACCTAAATACCACTGGCTCATTCCAATAATTTTAGACCTGACTGCAGTTTCATCACAAGCATTTCACTTAGAACTGGCTTCACTGTATGGGCTATAAGTGGCCAGTTCCTTTTTGCACATGTGCAATTTGCTTTAATGTGAACTACCCATGTGCATCAGGGGAAGCCTAAGAGGGTAGCTATAGCTTGTGAAAATGGCTAAATGGTGCTTTTTCAGATTTGTTTAATTTTCTTTTCTGTCTCTGATGACTGCCCTTTGTAGGGCTGTAATCCATTTTCCCAGCAATAATGCCTTATGATGCCATCTGCAACCTACTTATGTTTCAGCAGCCCACATACTGTTATGATATGTTGGGTCACTGAAAAATTAGAGGAAACTTTTCTCCTCTTTCTGGAAAATTGACTTTCCAACTGCCATCTATTTTGCTTGTTTTAGACTGGGAGTGGAGAACTAATGTTTCCCCTAAGTGCTGGTTTAAAAGTTTGCATTTTCCTCCCCATTCTGGACTTATTAATAAAAAAGTTGGTATTGAGATATTTTGAGGTTGGAGCCAATGTCAGGGAATAGGAAAAACTGAGATGTTAAGATGGGCCTCTTTGTTAATACAAGCTGCATTACTAAGTTTCTTTTAAATAGGAAAATCAATGAAGACCTCTGATACTGCCTCATTTTTGCAAGTAAAGAGATACTACAAATTCCTTGTGTTGGCACTGTGATTTAGTAGAGCTTCTAATTACTCCCTCTCCTTTATACCTTTGCTTTTTGTGACTTAAGATGAAACTTTCAGACTATAGGATTATTGGAATCCCTGTGGCGGTAGGGGAAGGGATGTCGTAGTCAGAGCCAAATCAAATTAAAAAAGCGGGGAAAAATATATCCACCTGGCTATCCTTACTGGCCCACCCAAAAGTATTACTTTTCTCTAGATGCTTCGGTTCCACTGCACTGATGTATTGCCTCTTTGGGTAGTGCAGGTCATTATTGACCTTATAAAGTAAATGGTTAGTAAATATCTTCAATTGGAAAAAACAAACAAACATTCCTCTAATTTTTCAGAAGATTAAACCTATCATCATTTCCTGTTCTGTTCTAGGTATATCTTCATCTAACCATTTCAATAGGTGTTGCTACTTTCAGTACTGACTTAATGTTTGATAATCTTAAGAGTGGAATCCTTTGCAGAACATGGCTTGTAGGCCTCAATTGGAGAATACTGGTTTCAGATGAATTAATTAGAAAGGCTAAAGGAGAATTATCTATAATTTCTCTCCTTGTTCCGTAATTAGTTTCATATTGCCATCATATAACAGAAAACACCATGCTATAGTGGGTAGAGGGCCAGCCTTGGTATCAAGAAGACCTAGGTTTAGTTGGGCCTCTCACATACACTAATCATTTGATCATGAGCAAGTCCTTTAATCTAGTTTCTTAGTGACCCAGTGGCTCTTTAAGGCTCTAAGATATAGATGACTTGCTGATCTATACTGGTAAAGGGAATGACCGTCCTGGAACTTCTATAAGTGAGTGAAAGCATAGGTTCAGATCTGTATTGTCCTCCCAAAACTTATATACATATACCCACATATCAGAGAATGCAGAATGTTAGAGCTGGAAATTATCTAACTTTTTATTTTACAGAGTAGAAGCTCAGACCCCTAGATGTTATGTTCTTTTTCCTCTCATGACTGTTTCTGTGACATCAGCCTGACTTATTCTTTGCCTTCCCTCTACTCATTCCTGTTTCAATACATTCTTGTATTTTGTAATCTATATTTAAATCTATAATTTTTCTTGAAACCTATTTTCTCTGCTCTTTCAGAAGCCTCTTCAAAAATATGCATTCCCTTGAACCATTTTCTGCATTTACTACCAAAAAGTTAACTCCTCTATTCTAGTCATTATTAGATTTGCTTTTGTTCATATCTGATTTTTTAAGAAGATAATACTCTCACCAAGTAAGGAACTTGAGTTCTTTATGTGTGTGTGTTTTTAACAAAGAAATCATATATTTGGAAATCCTGTACATAGTCATAACGACACTTGGATCCATGAATTAATCAGTGCCCCTTCACCAATACTAATCATAATTTCTTTATAATTTCTCACCCTTTGTAATTCTGATCCATACCGTACCACAAATCCTCCACTGAGGCGCTGCTCCATTTGCTAGAGGCCTTCCTTTGGTTCCCTACCTATCTTGGGGCTACGAGTGCATTGCTGGGCTGTCCATCAATCATCTCATTCTTCTTTTCTTTTCTTTTCTTTTTCTTTTTTCTTTCTTTCTTTTTTTTGGGGGGGTCTAGTCAATGGGGTTAAGTGACTTGCCCAGGGTCACACAGCTAGTGAGTGTTTTGTGTCTGAGGCCAGATTTGAACTCAGGACTTCCTGAGTCCAGGGCTGGTGCTCTATCCACTGTGCCACCTAGCTGACCCCTTATTTTCTTTTAAAAATTATTTAAATTAGTAAAAATTCACCTTTTCTCCCTCCTATTGACCCTCCCCTATTGAAAAAGAAAAACCCTTGTAATAAATATGTATAGTCAAGCAAAACAAATTCCCACATTGACCATGTTAAAAAGAATATGTGGGTAGCATGCTTCATCACTAGAGTTTTAGAATTATGATTTGTTATTGATTAGAGGGCTTAAGCCTTTCAAAGTTGTTTGTCTTTAAAATGTGGTTATTGTGGTATAAATTGTTTTCTTGTTTCTGCTCATTTCCCTCTGTATCAGTTCATACAAGTCTTCCCAAGAACCTGGGACCCTGGAACCATCCCTTTCATAATTTCTTTCAATACATTCCATTATATTCATTTACCTTACCACGTTCAGCCATTCTCTAGTTGAAAGACAGCCCCTTAGTTCCCAGTTCTTTACCACCACTAAGAGAGACGCATAAATATTTTTGTACACATGAGTCCTTTTTCTCTTTCTTTGTTGTCTTTGGAGCATAGACCTAGATGGTATCACTGGGTCAAAGGCTATGTATGATTTAGTAAATTTCAGAGCATAGATCCAAATCACTTACTAGAAGGGCTTAATCAGTTTACAACTATACTAACAGTTGAACAATATCCCTATTTTCCCATAGCCTCTCTAACATTATTCATTTTACTTTTTTTTTTTTTTGGTCAACTTTGCCAATCTAATGGTTGTAAGGTACAATTTCAGAACTGTCTTAATTTCTAATTTTTAGTGATTATTTTCATGTGATTATTGATAAATGATTAGGTTTCCCTTGAAAACAGAAAACTGCTTGTTTATATACTTTGACCATTTATCAACTGGGGATTCTTATTCTTGTAAATTTGAATCAGTTCCCTACATATTATAAATGTTTATCAGTGAAATTTGTTGCAGAGGTTTTTCCCCCACTTACTTGCTTCTTTTCTAATTTGAGCTAAATTAGTTTTTTAATTCAAAAACTTTTAAAGTTCTATATGCTCAAAATGGTCCATTTCACCTTCTGTGATCCTTTGTATCCCTTGTTTGGTCATGAACTCTCTTACCGTAGCCATAAATCTGACAGGAAAGTTCTTCCTTGTTCTAATTTGTCAATGATGTCAACATTATGTCTAAGTCATGTACCCATTTGGAGTTTGGTATATGGTATGAGATATTGGTCTGTCATTTCTCATTCCCGATATGTAACTGACCACCTCCTCTCCTGGTTAAATATGTCCTTGATGCTGTTTTTCACAACAACTTTCACAACAGGGTAAGTTGTTGTTGGCAATATGCTGTGTCCTATAATGGGAAGTTTTGGTTATACATTTGATTCTTCTGAGATTATTGTATTACATAGGTTATATCCATAAAGCATCAGAGGGAAGATGGCTTATATCAGTGTTATGGCATATGTCAGCAGGCATATGAGGTCATGTTTCTTCTCCTAGTGATGCTTCGATAGATATCTTAATTGTATGAAATCCACTTTGTAAAAAGATGTTAAAGCGTTTTTGTCTGCCTACAAATTAGAAATGCTAGTATTACTGCTTGGAGCAGAACAAACCCAAACCTGTAACCACTGGGGAAATCTGATGGTGGCTTGGGGATACTTTTGATAAAAAATGCAGGTCCCTTAGAATCTCTTGTATCTAGTCCTCTTGCAGGTTACTTTGTGTCTGCTTTGTATATGCTGATATATGTGCATGCTGTCTCCCAGATTACACCCCTTTGAGATAAGGGATTGTATCATTTTTTGTCTAGCTTGAGTAGTTAGCACAGTACTTGGCACACAATAGGCACTTAATAAATGCTTATTGACTGATGGAGAGATAGGTGCAAGAAGCAAGGGGGCATATACTAGTGATTCCTTTTCCACTGACCCCTAATATTTGCTTGCAATGCCTGCTTTCTCTTAATTTTGTCCCTTGTATAATCTGATAGCATTATTAGGTAACTGCCCAAATATATCTTGGTGACATCTTTAGCTTCAAGGACCCAAAGTATAGATAAGCAGTATGCAAGGCTACCACTGCCTGGTCCAAAAGTAAATGCAGAAGAGAAGTAAAAAAGAAAGGGATTGGGAAAAGGGGGAAGTAAGGGAAAGAGAAGAAGGAAGGTCAAAAAGAAAAGAAAGAGTTGCATATGGTGGAGGAAAAAAGAACACCACCAACAGTTAGCAGTTAGCAGGTGGTGAATGCCTTTGTCTGCAAGATAAATAACAATAAATGTAATCCTAGGAGCAGCAACGTGATGAAGCTTTTTATTTTCTAACATCCACTAGAAATATATCCTCATTGCCATGATACCTGCCATCTACAAGCTAGTTATTTCAGAAGCGAAATGGAGGAGTAGACAAATAGAAATTGAAAGTTGGCAGGACCCTCCATGGCTACCAAATCCAACCATACGTAACAAGAAGAATTTTTTTCTCCATCCTCCCTGACCAATGGGCATCAAGCTTGTGGTCAAAAATCTCCAGTGAGGGTGGACCCACTGCTTCCCAGCAGACTGAAGTGTAGGATGCCCGAATCTGGAACATCTGCATTGTATTTCAAGGAAACCAATGTTCCCTTTTACCAAACATATCCTTTGTATTCTTTTTTTCTCTCTCTCTCAGGATAATCATGGAAACAATGTGCACCTGGGAGTTTTCTTCATGGGAATTTTTGTAAGGAACAGAATTGGAAGGCAACTATCAATACACAGGTAGGGCTGGACTGACAGTTTTTGTTTTTTGTTCTTGTTTTGTGTTTATTTTTCTTCTGATGATTAAAATAATGAAGCTAAAGGATCACAGTTAGTTAGCTGAGTTGCTCAGTAGGTAAACCCAGTTCTTTAATCTGTGGCTCCGGAAGATGGATTTCTTTCAGCACTGGAAGGGGAGGCCCTTTGTATGATTGAGCAATTTTAGGGAAATTGACCTTCCCTTTTTCTGTGAGAGCACTGGAAAAAAGGGCTTTCCCCTCTTCCTCCCTTGGATTCAGGGAGCTCATTTTTATACTCTACAGAGTTGAAAGGGGATAATTGGGTTTTGAGTCTGGATTGCAAGCCACAGTGCCTTGTAGTTAGTTGGGACTTATTCAGTATCTATAGAATCAGATTAAATTGGCTAATTGAGGGGAGGGGAATGATAATTGCTCTTATTTATATAATTCCATAGGGTTTATAAAAACTTTTGTGTATATGATTTCATTTGATCCTCATAAAAAACCTGTAGCATAGCTGCATTATTCCCAGAAAGGACAGTTAGTAAGTGTCTAATAAGAGAAGTGCAGTGCAGTGAGAACATGGCTTCTTCAATAAGAAAGACCAAGGTTCAAATCCTGCCTTGGATGCTTGTAAAGCCAGCTGGCATCTGAGGACCCTTCCGGCTTCAGTTCTAGGATCCTTTGTCTGAGAATTCAAACCTGAGTCTTCTTGATTCCAAGGCTGATGCTCTATCCAGTAAGCACATTGCCTTCACTAAACAACTTGATTATCAAAACAGAGACTACCATTTTGCTTATCATTCATGAGGAATTTTCCCTTTTTGCCTACCAATCGGAAAGCACTTGAGATTCTAGTTTTGTTGTTAAGTCATTTCAGTCTTGTCCCACTCTCCGTGACCCCATTTGAGGTTTTCTTGGCAAAGATACTAGAGTGGTTTACCATTTCCTTCTCCAGCTCATTTTACAGATAAGGAAACTGAAGCAAACAGGGTTAAGTGACTTGCCCAGGGTCACATAGCTACTAAGTGTTTGAGGCTGGATTTGAACTCAGGTCTTCTGGACTTCAGACCCAGCACTCTATCCACTGTGCCATCTAGTTGCCCTGAGGTTCTAGTTACATTAGCAGCATCTTTAACTCCTAAAGATGACTCTGGTGGCTGTCAGGGGCCATCTTTGTACCAAAAGCAGATGACTGATAGCACTGACGATTTTTAGTCTCATAGGTCTATAGGATGATAGAAATAGAGTGGACTGGGGCCTCAGATGCCATCTAGACCAAGTTTTTTCCTCTTTTTATTGTTCATAATTATTCCTTGTTCCCATATGCATCACTACAATTACCATAAGAAGAAAAGGGATAATTATGAGCAATTTGTACTGCAAAACTTAAGGCCTGCTTTTACAGCGTCTTGTCATAACTTATGTATGTATAGAATAACCACAGGCAGATAGTAGGAAACCTGGAGAAGTCCGCAACTAATCAAATAGCAAATCTGATCCCAGAAATAAAAATAATTTCAATACATCTCTTCAATTATGTAGCCAACATGAGATAAAATTATGTTTAATTAATGGATGGAGTAAGGCATGTCAGTGAGAATAAAGACTTTGTTAGGTTGATTCAGTATTGAGTCATTACCACCTCTCTGATGTCATGGTCCTCTTCGGAAACGAAGGACAAACAACAACTACAACCACCTCATCCCTCTACTCAGCAAACTCCAGTGGCTTTCTGTTGCCTCTGTGAGCCAATACAGACTGCTCTGTTTGGCATTCAAAGCCCTGCATAACCTGGCCCCTTCTACCTTTCCAGTCTTCTTACACCTTATTCCCCAACACATACTTTCCAATCCAGTGACATGGGCCTCCTGGCTATTCTGGGAATAAGACACTCCCATCTCTTGGCTCTAGGCATATTCTCTGGCTATCCTTCATGCCTTGAATGCTCTCCCTTCTCCTCTCTGCCTCCTGGCTTTCTTTAAATCTCAACTAAAAATCCTACCTCATGTGGGAAGCCTTCCTCAACCCGTTAATTCTACTGCCTTCCCTCTCTTAATTATTTCCTATTTATCCTGAATATGGTTTGCTCTGTATATATTTATCTTGCCTATTAGATTGTGAGCTCCTTGGAAGAGGACTGTCTTTTTTCTCTTTTTTGTGTCCCCAACACTTAGCATAGTTCCCGGCACATAGTAGGTACTTAATAAGTATTGATTGATTGATCTAAAATGGGGATAGATTGCTTCAGCCGTTTAATAGAATGGAATAAGGATCAAATTATATGTGTATAAAAGTGCTTTGAAATACATAACGTTCTCTTCAAACAAGATGTAGTATTGTATAAGAGTGGTCTTTTTAAGACTTCCCAGTGCTGCTGATTGAAAATGTTTCATTGAAACCAGTATATCCTTTCCTGCAATTTTCTTCCTCTGTGCAGTTCCCCAAATCTTTGCTGCAGCTTATCTTTGATTCCTCTGTATCCATGGGTAGTACACTGTTGTCATTAGTTTATTCTGTTAGTTAATTTTTGTTGTTGGTCTCTTTCTTCAGTAATTTTTTGCCCAGTTTTTGTAGATACCTTTGTATAGCAAACTAAATTTGTACTTAGATGTTTCTCTTTCTCCCTCTCCCTGTTGAGTTTAATGAGTTGCATTTTGACAGCGTTACTGTACAATACAAATATCAGCAGTTTTTGAGTTGTGTAGTGTCTCCTGCTAAAACTAAATTTACTGTAAATATTTTTAAGAAAATGTTGGGACCTCTCTTGCACTTGACATATTCAATGAGCATCCTCACTTGAAAGTCATATTAGCAACACTTATGTTTGAGAGATGATCCCCCTTTATAGCAGGAGTTTTCTAAACCATTTCCTGGGAAGAGGTTTTTTTTTAAATTTACTTGAACTTAAGCCTTAATATTAAGTCAGATCTGTGAAATATGTACATAGAATCTAAGCTTGTGTGAAGGGACTTAGATTTTGTCTCCGTAAACCCAATCCGGCCACAAAGTAGGCATTTAAATTCTTGTTAGTCGATATGTTAAAATGGAAGAAAGAAGTATGACTCAGTGAAAACTGGGTCCTGCTCTCAAACAAGCTGGAAGCCTTGTTTATGGCCTCACTTTCTTCTTTCCCTGAAATACCCTAGCACCCAGAGAGTGTCATACAGAGAAGAAGCTATGGTTGTGGTAGCTCACAGCTGTTCCCGTCCTCACTGAAAAAGTATTCGAGCTGTTGGGAGAAGGGAGAAGTGGAAGTTGCTTCCCCTCTGGTCTACCAAGTCAGACCACAATTGACTGGCTAATGACCCATGCATTATAGGTTACTTATACTAAGAGAAAAGCACCACTTTGCCAACAGGTGCTGTGATTTAGAGTAACCAAATCTATAGAGCCTTGTAGTACTGGCTAATGAAATTTCAAGGTATTGATGGCAAGGGGCAAGTCAGTCAGTCAATCAACAAGTGTTTATAAGGTGCTTACTATGTGCCAAGCAGTTTGCTAAATGCTGGAGATATGACGAAAGGCAGTAACACACTTCCTGCTCCAAGGACCTCCCATTAAAATTACTGAGACAGTTGGCCTAGAACTATCAATCAGTAAGTATTTGTTAAGCACCTGCTATGTGTTAGGCACTGTGCTGAATGCACAAAAGAGGCAAAAAAACTTCCTCTCCATCTTCAAACTTGGTTGAGCATCTCCTTTCTGTGCCTTCCTTTAAACACTTTGTTTCCTAAGATAGTCCGTTTTATTTTAGCAGTCAATCAATAGATGTTTATTAAGCTCCTTCAGTCTCCCAGGTATTGTGCTAAGCATTGAGGAAACCATAAACAAACAAACAAACCAAGGAATGAATGAACAAATAAATGAATGAATGAATGAATGAATGAAGACAAAAGACAGTCCTTGCTGGTTGCTCACAGTCTAAGGGGAGAGACAGCATGCAAACAATTATGGACAGACCTGCCAGTCATGACTTTTGTCTTGCCACTGGGTTGCAATGACTCCGGAAGAGAGAGTGAGGCTTATGACTTTGCATAATTCTTCCTCACTTAGTGTAAGTCAAGACATCACCCCATGATGTCATTGGTCCTCTTCAAAAATGAAGGATGAACAACATATATAAATTGGATAAACTGGAAATTATCAACAGAAAGAAGACAGTAGTAGAATTAAAAGATTTTGTAAAAAGTGGAATTTTACCTGGAACTTGAAGAAAGCCAGGAAGCAGAGATAGGAAAGGGGAGAATTCCAGGCATGGACAGCAAGTGAAAATGCTCATGATGTGTTTATGTAACTCCTAGAAATGTGGTAGCTGATTAAATACTGACCAGGTACAATCTTTACTGGGCTTGACTGTATCTGGTGTGTGGGCTAACAGAAAATTAGTGTGGATTCTTTTGGTTAGATACACATAGTGTAGAGTCATGACTGAATGATGTGTCTATCCATCATTAAAAAGCAAGAACCTCCTAGAAGGTGGTTGAAAGGAATAAATAAACACAGAAGGCTTTAGGAAAGATCTGCTTTTTCAATCTAGGATAGTTAAAAACAAAGCACAAGAAATTCTGTCTGTTATGTGGTAGACTCAGTTCTTATTTAAGTAGAACTAGATGGCCATGGAGGGGAAGCAAAATGGTGTGGTGGAAAGTTCACTAGCTGTAGAGTCAGTGGACTTGGATTCAAATTGTAGAGACAGCTAAGTGGTTTGGTGGATAGAGTGCTGGGCCTAGGGTCAGGATATATCTGAGTTCAAATCTAGCCTCAGCTACTTATTAGCTATACGACACTGGGCAAGTCATTTAACTTTTGTCCACCTCAATTTCCTAATTTATAAACTAGGGTCAATAATGGCACCTATTTCCCAGGGTCGTTGTGGAGATAAAATGAGATAATATTTATAAAGTACTTTGCAGCCTTAAAGTTCTATTGAAGTGCTAACTATTATTATCTTGCCTCTTATCCATACTACTTGTGTGATCGTGGGCAAGGCACTGAATCCCACTGGATCTCTGTTTCCTCGTCTATAAAATGAGGGGTTTAGACTAGACGGACTCTAAGATCCCTTCTAATTCTACAGATATTATCTTTTCCAACTTCTTTATTAAGATTAATAACAGGAGTCATACACTCCAGTAAACTGTTTTTGGATATCATAGAACTAAGAATTTCTTGCTGTATGGAGTAAATATATATTTATTTAGCATCCCAAAACTGGGATCTTTGAGATAATCTAACCCTGTCATCTAATTTTTTTCTGCTTTAAGACAGCCATGATTTTCCATAAAAACAATTTAGCTTTCTTTGAAGAAAATGTTTTAAAAAGTATTTTGGGAGGGGAATGTGCTGGAGAAGAATCAGAGATCTGGTTTTCTTTTAATTTCTTTTTTAGTAACATAAAATTTATTTCTCAAAAAGAAATCAGTGCCTTTTCCTTTTGCATCATATTCATTTCCAAATATACTCCTCTCCTTTCTCTACCCAGCAAGCCTTCCCTTGATCTGTTATTGTGTTACTTCAGTAGTGTCCAGCTCTCCATGACTGTATTCGGTATTTTCTTGTCAAAGGTATTGGAGTGGTTGGACATTTCCTTCTCTAGCTCATTTTACAGATGAGGTAACTCAGGCAAATAGGGTTAAGTGACTTGCCTAGGATCATACAGCTACTAATTGTCTGATTTGTACTCATGAGGCTTTATGATTGAAAGCCTCGTGCTCTAGCCCAGTGCCACCTAGCTGCCCTGCCTGATTATAAAGATTAAAAACAAAAACCAAGAAAACCCTCAGCAAAACAAACCAGCACGTTGCCTACATCTAACACAATATGCAGCATTAACACCAATGCCTTTTCTACCAAAGTACAGTTTTTCTTATCTATTCTCTTGGGCCAAGCTTGGCCATTATAATAATTACACAATGTTCAGTTTACAAATATGTTTTCTAAAATGAGACTACATATTGCCAGCATAAGTGATATAGTAGATAGAATGCTAGATATGGAATCATGAAGATAGAATGCTAGATGTGGAATCATGAAGACCTGAATTCATAGCCTGCCTTATATACTTACTAGCTGTGTGATCCTGAGCAAATTGTTTAATTTCTCTCATCTTAGTTTATTTGTCTGTAAAATCAGGCGAATATTTTGCATGTACCTCTCAGGTTTATCATGAGGATTAAATGAGATGATGTATGTGAAAGGCTTGGCAATCTTTTAATTACCATATAAATACAATTATTTTCTGATGCTACCTGGAAGCATCTCTGGTTAAACCTTAGTGATATCTTTTTTGTTTAGGTGGAATGATATTGGCAATATCACACATAACAAATCTACCATCCTGCTAGAGCTAATCAACAAGGAAGAAACAGCCCTCTTTCATACGGTAAGCAACTCACACAATACTGCTCTTTCAAGGCAGATATAGTAGACTAAAACTCTTGCTTTTAGTAGAATGGAACTTCTAGGGCATGCTCTGTTTTGAATCCTTATTTCTAGCACAGTTGCTGCCTAGCATCCTGTAGTAGGTGTATAATAAATCAAATTCAATTATCATTTGAATTCCAAACTCAGTGGATTCTCTTGTCATGAGCTAATAAGCCTACATTCAGAAAGACAGAGTAGAAAGGGTGGGATGTACCTGCCTTCTTTACAGACATTGCCTCCAAGTGTATTGTTACTGAAGCTTAGGTTCAGTAACCATAAAAATACTATCTATGACATTCCAGGTACTATAGCTAACTTGTAAACTTAGGATTCCTGAACTCTTCCTTCTTTGTAATGGATCATGTTCTATGCTGTGCCACATTCACTTGTACCCATCCTCCTCCAGTTACAGGCTTTATCAGGTCATCCCCTAGTTAGGTTACACCATATTTGCTTTCCCTAGCTGACCTGAACTATGATGGGTTTTTTTTTTCACTGTGCCTCAGGGGGCTAATCTGAAATAAGTAGGTTAACTGATTTTCCATGGAGTTCCTGGCTTAGGTCTTAGAATTTACCTGCCTCACTTTTCTGCCTTAAATTTCATGATGGCTAGTGTTTGTACTGTGTGTTTACATCCTTATTTTTGAGGCAGTCTGATGGAAGCATGTGAGCCTAGTGCTTTATATGTAACAGTTCCTTCAGCAACCACTAGATTTCCCATGGTAAGACTTTTTGGTTAGGGGACAGGGGATATGTGTTGTCATATGTACTTTTGAAGGTAGCCATAATGAAATGTATGTGTAATCAAATAAATGTTTACTTTCCTCCCTGTCTTCTGTTTGTTTGTTTGTTTTTTTAAGGATGATATTGAAAATGCCAAATACATTTCTCGATTGTTTGCTACAAGACACAAGTTTTACAAGCAGAACAAAATCTGTACTGAGTAAGTAAACATGTAGCCTTGGCTCCCTTGAGGGTTAAAGAGCAGGCCAACACTAGGAAGTCAAGAACTTTCAGGGTCAATTCTTGTCTAATCTGTGTGAGGTTATGTGAGTGGAAAACAAATTCATTTTATGAGCTTAACTGCTTAGACTGTTCTGTGTGTTAGCCTTCCTTTTATACCCTCTTGCTTTAGGCGTTGGCATCCTGTAACTTCATTCTCCAGCCTCCCCCACCCCACTCCACCTCCACCAACAAACTTCCTGATTTTGGAGTAGCTGAGTTGTTCAGAATTTCCTAGGGTGCCTCAGTGTCAAGCATGGAGTATATTCAGAAGTGTGTTGTGAAGTGAGGAGCCAACTTGAAAGAAAAGAAGCCCCTGTCATCTTCATCACAGTTTCACTTACACAGTTGGCTAGCCCCTGCATGTGCCTCTGGGTCATGTCATCTGACTGAAAATGAGAGGCCTGGGTAATTAGAGGAAAGCTTACAAGACTCTAATAGATGGCACAAATCCATATTTTTTAATTTTTTTTCTTCTTGGAAATAAGGATGATAAGGGAGAGTCTGATGAGGCAACTTCAGGATGACCTGACCTCGGGAACAGCATGCTGGGGACTCATACTGTCATTACCCTGACTATGGTTGTCTTGAAAAGAAGTTTGTCAGCAGGGAGCAGGCAGCAATTTGGGAGCCTAGAAATATGGGGCGTCTAATTTTGTATCCTAGAGCTTCAGGAAAGTAAATGCAGAATGAGCAATTGCCTTCACAATCCCCCAGTGGACACAATCAAGGGTCTGGAAAATGTTGGCCCCGAGCAATCCCTGCTGAGGAGTCTCTGTTGCTTTTGTAACTGTATCTTTAGGTCAGGGCAAAGTTTTTTTCCCTCCACACATTAAAAGCCATTCATTCATTTCATTCCAGCTATCACAAGTCACTGCCTTTGTGAAAGTTGATCACCTTCGGGTGCTAGCTAACTGGGGATCATAGATATGCATGCATATACTCACAAAATGCATATGTATACATACGCTTGCATATATGTTGCATGTATGTGTATTTTAGACATAAGCATGTGTGTCGTACATATTTGCATATATGTACACACATGTATGCACATACACGTACTCATACGCTTACATAATATGTATGGGAGCATGTGTGCATTTATATATATATACATATATATTTGTGTATTTGTGTATTTGTTCTAGTGTTTAGTGTATAATGAAGCTTACCAATGGATATTGGGGGAGAGGCAGATCAAAGAGAGGCAAATTAAGGGGGAAAAAAGGAATTTTATAGCTGCCATTTGAAACAAACACAACTTAGAAGACACCCTTTGCCCACCCCTAGGTCTCTCAGTATTAAGGTTATCTCTCTGAAACAGCTTCCATTTATATTTGCATCTGAACCTATACTCCTGTTTTAATTAATTCATTAAATTGATCCTTGCATTTAATAAGAGCTCTGCCAATGACTCTAGTGAGCTGATATGAACCAAGAAAACCTTTTGTAAGCTGGTTCTCCTGCCACATTAATTCAGCCATTTTTTCAGACTTTGCCTTAAAGTGATGGTGTCACCATTTGTGTTTTTCTCTGGCTTTTTCCTCAAGTGGAAAGTATAGCATAATTTACTGTCAGTTAAAAAAATTAAGTAAAATTGATTTAAAAATTAATTTAGAAGAAACTGATGAAAATTTTGGATTTATCTACACATAAATATCTCCATTGCTAAATTTAAAACTTAAGATCATACATTTAGAGCCAAAAGGGACATTACAGGTCATCTATTCTGTTCCTCCCATTTTATAGATAAAGAGGTGGAAGGCTAGAGAGGCTAAGTGACTTGTCCAAAGTCACACAGGTTATAAGAGGCAGTGCTGAGATTTGAACCCAGGTCAACTAAGTACAAGATCCGTTTCTTTTAGTGCCAGTTAAGTGGGACAGAGGATAGAGTACTAAACCTGGAGTTCAAATATAGCCTCAGACACTTAACTAACTGTGTGACTGTGGGCAAGTCACTGAAGAAGGAAAAAAAACTCTGCCTGCCTCAATTTTCCTATCTGTAAAATAGGGATAATAGCACCTGGGGTTGTTGTGAGGATAAGATGAAATATGATTGTAAATTTGTTACTATTTACAAGTATGCAAATTATATATTTGTAAAGAGCTATGCAAACCCAAAAGTGCTATATAAATGCTAGCTATAATTATTGTTAGCTGTTATTTTTCTATTGCACCATTCTGCCTCATTGTTGTAGGGATTGTTTCTTTAATAACTTTTCTTCTCTACCCTGTTACCTTAGTGTTATATGTCCGCATGTGTCTGGTTATTCCAGCCTCCTTTCTGGCTGTGTTAGTATTTTTCAACCTGTGCTTCTCTTGCTTATCTTAGCGTTTAGCTCCGTAATGCTTTGAAGGTTTTCTGTTTGCCTCCATAAGACTCCTAGGCCATTTTTTGACAAGAGAGTTGATGTTTATTTCAGAATTTCTTATTTCTGTCTAAGTATTGTTTCACAAATGAGACTTGCTCTTCAAACTTGGTACCTAATATGAGACTGCATTCATCTTTCCATCTTTCATGCAGACAGTCAAGTTCTCCTCCTCCCATTAGACGACAACCCACCTGGAGCCGGTCATCACTGGTAGGTGGAACATTGTCATTATCAAGTCATCTCACTGATGGAGTTGAAAATTGAATTTGGTCTGGACCTCATTAGTGATAGTCTCATTAGGATGGGGAGCTCCCACTGAGGAAACTCTATCAATTCAAATGAGCAACTATTTACAATTTTCCATCAAAGGCAGCAGATGCTCAGTATATGGCATAACATGGTCTAGCATTTCTTTATCTTTTTTTTTTTTAAAAAAAGAAGACAGTTGTCTGTTTTGTCACAATGTGCTAGAGTTCCATGTCTATCATTTCCTGTTAGATCTAGATCAGGATTCTCTGCCTTCAAGAAATCTGACTAATCCCATTCCAACATGAATATCCTGTGTTCCTTCAGCACACATATAGTTTATGCTACATTTTGATTCTCTAAATTTACATTGGTTTGACATTCCTTTATTGTTCTATGGATATGGACCATATCCCCTCACTAAGTTCTACAAAAACTGGGAGTGATGTCCTTTTTTTTTAAATTTCCTTTTCCCCCACTATAAGGCTTAGCATACAATCGAATAAATGTTTTTTGAATGGATAGATAAATGAATTAAAGGATGTTAGATGGCTAGTTGGAATAGTAGATATAAAGTGGAATGATATATGTTTCCCTATGAATAGAAGACTGGTTTGCAAACAAAATTTTCATTTTTTCCCCTACCCCTAAACTACTTTATGTTCCTTTTACTTACACTTACCTTTTCTTATTTTTAAACTGTTCCCCTTGTCACTAGAATAAAGATATACCATTCTGATTGCAGCAGATACATTGTGCTCTATGTTGTATTTTTTGAGACTACAAATTCTCACAAAAACCAAAACATCTAGCTACTACATACAGCGTGAAATCTGGCCATGCCAGTGTTTTCTAGATAGAAAATACTAGAGAACAGTGGTAGAGTTTGTTTTAGGTCTACCATTTGATTTTCTTAGAGTTTATAGTCTTGTTTGTTTTAGGTCAAGGTTGCATTTTTTTGTTTTCATTGCCTCCCCCCCCATATATGGTCTGCTCTAAATAAAATTTGATTTTTCTTTACAAGGTATGCATATTCATCGAGACATCGTTAGCAAAATAGTTTGCTTAAGGGAAGTTTGCTTAAAGTTTGCTTGAAGGAAGAAACTTATTCTTTTAGCGTTGCCAAAGATATTTTTATTTTAGTAATTGCTTAGTATCCAGATGAGCAAAATGCTCTAATAGGCATTGTTTTAAATAGTGTAGACATTGTCCCTACCCTTTGTTGTTCACTGGAGTCCTACTCTTTATGACCCCATTTGAGGTTTTCTTGGCAAAGATACTGAAGTAGTTTGCCATTTCCTTTTCCAGCTCATTTTATAGATGAAGAAACTGAGGCAGACAGGGTTAAGTGACTTGCCCAAGGTCACACAGCTTGTGTCTGAGACCAGATTTGAACTCATGAAGATCAGTTTTCATGACCCCAGGCCTGGCACTCTAACCACTGTGCCACCAAGCTTCTCTACCCTTTAGCAACTTAAAAACCTGGAGTATCAATTTAAACTTGTCATGTAGGCTACCATTAGATATATAATGTTGTATTGTTTGAAAAATAATTCTATCCTTTATTATTGTTTTCCTTTTTCCTGTCATTAACATTTCAGTGTTTGAATCAGTGAGATCATTTCCCAAAAAAGTTCATGAAGCACCATGGGAGGCCAAGCAACTATTTTATCCCTTGATCTGATCTTATATTTAAATTTATTTATAAAAACATTAAGGGCCTTCCTATTTGATCCTGATAACCTAAGCCTATAAGGAAACATGATTCACAGCTTCCCCTTTCTCATGTCAGTTAACTTGTAACATTTCACTGATAGGAATGAAAACAAGACCAAGTTCATTTCCCTCTTGTGTCTATTATCATTAAATAGGGTTGCTGATTTCTCACTTTAGGTCATAAGATCATTGGATTTAGAACTGGAAGGGACCTAAGAGATCATCTGGCCCCAAACTCTTATCTTGCAGATGAGGAGACAGCTTACTAAAAAGATGAGATGGTTTAGCCAAGGTCAGACAGCCAGAGCTGGGCTATGAATCTAGGTCCTCTAACTACAAAGCTACAGTCTTTCTACTATACCATGATATCTCTCCAACAGATGAAGGCAAGACCCATGTATATAAAGTAACTTGCCCAAAGCCACATCTGTAGCAAGCAGTAGACCCAAGATTCAGTAAGTCCTGGTCTTCTCACCTATGTTTTATACTCATGAAAACCAGACATATCACATGCCCTGCTGTCATAGAAACAAGTTAAAAGTTGAATCACTTTTCTAAAGATGTAGAAAAATGCTTTTTGAGTTTTCGGTTCCCAAACCAGCCAGTGATATTCATGAATAAGTTTAGCACTGCTAACAAATTTTCTTTGCTGCTGTCATCTACTTCCTTTCCCAAAAGGAAATTTTATCAACTTCCATTCTTTATTGGCTTTCCTCTCTTTTCTTTTCCATTTTCCTTGCCTTTACTTTCTTCTTTGTTTTTTCATTGAACGTTCACCATCTCTGTCCTTACGCTTTTTAAAAACAAAAGAAACAAGGAAATGGTAGAGAGTTCCTATTTTCAGCTCCACTGCTAGACACGTATGGAATGAGCAATGCAAGCAAAAGGTGGTATCTCTTGATTTTGATTTTTTTAGCTTTCCTAGTTCCTGCTACTTTCTAAAGACAATCACCATTTTAATAATACCAGTAAAACTCTTGTTTAAAATAATAATATAGAGTTATGCTTCTTTTTTTTTAGAACAAAAACAAGCTTAAAGATCATTTAACCTAACACTTTAACTTTACAGGTGAAAAGCGTAGTACCCCAAGAGCTGGAAAACAAAATAAATTTCTGTGTATATTCACACACACACACACACACACACACACACACACACACACACACACACGCCTCATTATGGACTTTGAGTCCTTTACCTCCATGTCTGAAAGTCACACCATCTACTATTGACCAAAGCTAGTAATACCTTTTATTACACACTCACTTCTACTCTCTTTTTCCCAGTCCACTGAATAGGAGAGAAATGGAAGCTCTGATAAGCAGCAGTAGGGTCGAAGGGTGGGCAAAGACAAAAAAGAGCAAACAGTAGTGGCCAAGGGCAGGATCCATTAATGAACTCTGGATGATGGAGTCGACCACCGATCTTAACCCTGTCTTCTAAAATAGATAATTTTCATTTGCTGAGATTTTTCCTGTGTTTTATATGTTCTTTGTTTCAGCCAAGACAACAGCCATATATCTTGCCTCCTATGCATGTCCAATGCGGAGAACACTACACTGAAACTCACACTTCCCAAGGTATTTCTGGCTTATGATTGTGTAGTTTAAAAGGAAAAATAAATATAAGAAATTATAGAATATAATAAGAAAAAAGGTATTAATTTATTTGGTTTAAGTCTGCCTTATTAAGTGGAAGGATCAGGAGAAATTGTGTTACTTTGGAAAGAGTGCTGGATTTAGAGTAGGAAGATTTGGATTCAAATCTTGGCTCTTGTTCTTACTTACCTCTGTGACTCTAGGAAAGTCACTTAACCCTCAGTTTCCTCATCTGTAAAATGAAAGGATTGGGTTAGATGGCTTCTGAAGTCTCTTCCATCTTAAAATCTATGTTTATATAATATGTGATTTTATTAGCATGTGGGAACTTCCATTAAAAGAACTCCTTCTACTTCTGCAGATTACAAGTCCGTTGTGAATTATTAGATAAGTCCTAGGCACTTGTCTGAGTCAGACAAGTGATAACTGAGTTTCCCAGGGTCCGTTCACCTTGCTGTTGTTTGAGGTGGAATTTGTACCTAGGTCTTCCTGATGTCAAGGGCCACGTTTTATCCTCCAAGCCATATTGTCTATATTATAAATACTCAGTCTGTGTTATTCAGGATTATAGGAGTTCCTAGGTTCATAAAGTTAGATCCTAATAGGACTTTAGAAGTCCAGTAATTCAGCCCCCTTATTTAATAGATGAGGATAGAACCTGAGTCTTAGAGCTTTCCTAAGATACACAGATAGTAAATAGCAGAGTTTTTGATTTGTGAAAGAGATAGCATTTTGTCCCTCTCTCTCTCTCTCTCTCTCTCTCTCTCTCTCTCTCTCTCTCTCTCTCTCTCTCTCTCTCTCTCTCTCTCTCTCTCTCTCTCTCTCTCTTTTTTTTTTTTTTTAGGCAACTGGGGTTAAGTGACTTGCCCAGAGTCACACAGCTAGTAAGTGTTAAGTGTTTGATTTGAGGCTGGATTTGAACTCAGGTCCTCTTGACTTCAGGGCCGGTGCTTTATCCACTGTGCCACCTACCTGCCCCTTGTCCCTCTCTTTTATATATAGATATATAGATATAGATATATAGATATAGATAGATAGATAGATAGATAGATATTTATATATACATATTTATATGTACAGAGATGATGAGCCCCTGATGAACCCCACTGTTCTCAGAGATAACATGCTCAGTGATTTGATCGGTAATTGATTGTCTTCTGTTCCTTCATGCCACTTACCCATGATGTCTGGCGTGGTATCTGCAATTTAAAAACCTGACTTTTTTCTCTCCTATCTGAGTTTGCTTTTAAGTTTGCATCTTTGCTTGGATTACTCTGTAGTTGTTCCTATCGTAAAGGGGAGCGGCCTAAGAAGGGATTTTAATTCTTATTCCTCAGTATAGACCATCAAAGTTAGATAGCTATATCTATTATCTAAATTGCTTCATTATTTTCTAGTATTTTGATCCCCACTCCACGTTCCCTTGCGCTACAGGGACACTGCCCTTGTAGCTAAGAAAGATAGGCATCTCAGAGAAAACTCCAACATGAGTCTTACCCAAAAGTTTTAGTTCCATAGTATTTTTTAAGGTTTTCCCAGCAGAGAAATCTCAGCAGCCAATTGGCCTGCCCCACACAAGGCAAGTCCTTTAACTACTAAGCTTATACGTGGAGCTGAGGTCTTGCTTCAGTGGCGAACTTAGCCAAGGGACTGTGAGTCTGAATTCAGCATTTTTCCTTGATTAGGATCGTGTTTTGCCTTTCATTTGGAGTGTTTTATAATTTTGCTTCTGGGTGTTGATTATCTTTACCAGGACAGCAGCAGTTTTTTTCTTTAATATTTGGCACATGGGTTGGGATTTGGGGTTGTATATGTTTATTTCCTTATTTCCCTCTATCAGAGCATGTCCAGGTGAATGAGAAGACATCAAATGGATGTTAGTCTAGCAAATTCATATGTCTTATTTATAACCTTTACTCTAGACAGCATTTTCCATGGGAATGAAGAAGCCTTCTACTGCAGATCCCAGACCAGCCTGGACCGGTGTGCAATGGATTTAAGTTACTTAAATGGTACTGTTACAAATGGCAGCGTCTGCAGTGCCCACAGTGGGAACTCCCTCAATTGCTCCCAGAACTTCATCCAGGCTTCTCCAGTGTCATCCAATCTCAGCATCCCAGGGAGTGACATCATGCGGGCTGATTACATCCCTAGCCACCGACATAGTGCAATCATTGTCCCATCGTACCGGCCAACTCCCGATTATGAAACAGTGATGCGGCAGATGAAGAGGGGAGTTATGCCTGTGGACAGCCAGAGCCAATCTCTTAGGAATCTCAACCTTGGTAATACTCATGCTTACAACCAGCCAGAGGACCTGGTTTACAGTCAACCTGAAATAAGGGAGAGACATCCTTATACTGTTCCTTATGTGCCACATGGAGGGTACAACAAACCTGTGGGCCGGGCTGACCAAATGAAACCAAATAATAAGACTGTGTACAGTAAGAAGGTACCTAGTGCCATATCCCATACAGTGAGCACCCCAGAGCTGGCCAACATGCAACTGCAAAATAACCACAGTTACAACACAGCTCATATGCTCAAGAATTATCTCTTCCGGCCACCACCCCCTTACCCCCGGCCCCGCCCTGCCACCAGCACACCAGATCTCGCCAGCCACCGACACAGATATGTCAGTGGCAGCAGCCCTGATCTGGTCACTCGGAAGGTCCAGTTGTCAGTGAAGACTTTCCAAGAGGATAGCTCACCAGTGGTGCACCAGTCACTCCAAGAGGTCAGCGAGCCCCTGACAGCCAACAAGCGCCATACCACTGTAAATAAGCGCCACAGTCTAGAAGTGATCAGCAACATGGTGCGTGGAATTGAAGCTATGGCCCTGAAGACACTCAACGCCCCGATACCTCGTCGTAATACCCTGCGTGAACAGATGCAACCAGAGGACATGACGATTAGCCATGATGTACAGGAGCAGCTCCCCCACTTCCATCACAAGAAGACCTCCTCCGATGCCACAATGCTAATCCATAGTAGTGAGAGTGAAGAGGAAGAAGAGACTCCTGAAGCAGTTCCTCGCATCCCCCCACTCCGTGAGAATGTGAGGTATAGTGCTCAGTTGCAAGCTGCTTTGGCCCGTATCCCTAACAAACCACCCCCTGAGTATCCAGGACCAAGGAAAAGTATTAGCAACGGAGCCTTGAGACAAGATCAAGCGAGTGTGTCTGCAGTCATTGCAAGAACTAGAGTCATGAGACCAGGACCCACCAAAGCCATCAGTGTATCCCGACCTGACCAGCTTACCATCAATGGGTCCTCTCTTGGCCCTTCAATCTCAGAACCTGACCTCACAAGTGTAAAGGAACGGGTCAAGAAAGAACCGGTAAAGGAGAGACCTGTTTCGGAAATGTTTTCTCTAGAGGACAGCATTATAGAAAGAGAAATGATGATCAGGGTAAGTCTCCTTCTTTCCCAGGCTGCTATTCTTTTGTCTTTTCTCCGCTTTAGCATGCCTCCTGATTTCTTTATATCTGCATACACAATCTGAAGATGCAACTCCTCCAAAAACAGAGACAGATAGAGAGCTCACTCAGGAAATGTTTTGGAAGTTTCTAGAAAAATTGGAGCAAAATTTTAAAATGGAAAAGTTTTATTAAGATCGACATTTCTGCAACTTTAGTCACTTTGTCTACTACCTTTCTCCCACCATGTATGTATTCCCTAAATCTATGATTTTGTGATGTATTTTTGAGGGAGAAGATTGATGTTGGTGGGGTTAATACCTGAGTCGGTCTTTTACCTACACTACCATTACACACCTTTTCTAAATAGTATTTTTAAAAGGAAAATATTTTTTACATACATATGTATGTGTGTATATATGTATAAATGTATATTTCAGCAGGTGAATATGTAAATTTCATCTTTCTGTGCTGGTTGTCATATTTGGATTCATAGTATGTCTGGCCTCCTTTTTAAATTATGTTTTTTGTATTCGTGTGAAAAACACAAGAGCACCATAATACTGAGAAGCATGGCCAGAGTTTCCCATCAGCAAAGTGAAGTATCCTCTCATTTTAACAATTTAGTCTGGTTTGCTGCTAATGGTATTTCATATCCATATGTGTATACAGGCTATCTAGATGCAATTTTATATTAGATGTGAATAATATATGTTCCCTACTCAGTGGTCAGATGATGTTTCATGGGCAGAAGTGTTCAGAATGATGAGGAGGAAGGAATATCTAGTCCAATGAGATGGATACCTTCCTTGCTTATTTTAAAAATTGCTGATAATAATGTTGTTGCTTTAAAAAAAAAAATATATATATATATATATATATATATATATATATATATATATATAATATATATATATATATATAAAAACTAAAGTCAGTGTTGTTTAGTATTCTGGGAAGTTTTTATTCTGTTTGAGAAACCAATTTATTTTTGACTAATCCAACTCAAATTGATTTCTGCTTTTAATTTTAATTCACAGTATCTGTACTGTTAGGTATTTTTGGGTCATTTGAGGAACTCGAAACATTGAAATTTTCTCTGGTTGTAGTTATGCAGTTTCTTGAATTTATATACGTATTTCTTCTACCTCTCCTAACTCCCAAAGAGCAGTGAAGGTAAATGTTTTAGGAAATCCAAACCCCAGGGTTTCAAAACAAAACAAAATCGAAAATAACAACAACCATCTGATTAATAGAAACATTTTTGTTTTAGGAATTTTTCATTAAATGAGGCAGTTAGGGTTACATGACTTGCCCGGAGTCAAACAGCTAGTGAGTGTTATGTGTCTGAGGCCAAATTTGAACTCAGGTCCTCCTGACTCCAGGGCCGGTGCTCTATCTACTGCGCCACCTCGCTGCCCCTTAGGAATTTTCTTATCCTCGTATTGGTTTAGCCATGGTTGTAACAATATTCAAAATCTAATGCAGTTGTAATTTTCCTCCCACCTCTGATTTTTCCATATCTAGAGGAAAATGGCAACTTCTTGATTTCATGAATTTGATGGGAAAGGGAAGGGGGAGAAAAAGCTTACCTAGCTTGGGAAAAGAAGTAATCCATGGGAAAGAAAAAACTAACCACTGTTTCTCTCTCTCAGTTCTAGAAAGAGCATCAAAATTCTGCTTATAGCAGCTAAGTGGCGCAGTAGATAGAGTGCTGGGCCTGGAGGCAGGAAGACCTGAGTTCAAATTTGGCCTCAGACACTTAACCAGCTGTGTGACCCTAGGCAAGTCATGTAACCCTGTTAGCCTGTTTGCTCATCTGTAACAGGAGCTGGAGAAGGAAATGGCCAAGAAACTCCAGATGAGATCACTAAGAATAAGACACAACTGAAATGACTGAACAGCAGCAGTAGTTCTAAGGCAATTGAAGTCACCTTTGCAGGGCCAGTCTGATTTCCCCTTATCCACAGAATGTTTTTTGTATTCTTGTCAAACTTAGCAGTGCCCCATCTTAGCTAGTCACATTCACACCCTTCTTCCAGCCATCAGATTGTTAAGTTAAAGAAATACGAGCAAGCTAGCCTGCACCTGGTACAGGCAATGTAAGAAGCTCCCTCCTCTCTAACCTGAAACCTAAATAAAAGGGAGAACCAAAGTTTGTCAAGTTTCTTTTAGCTCACTGCCTAATGAAAAGTAAAGCCATGGTGTCAAGTTCCATGGTTGATTACCCTCTGAGGTGGAGAACCTGCAGCTTCAAGGGCACATGTGGCCTTCTAGGTCCTCAAGTTCAGCCCTTTGACTTCAGGGCCACACTTGAGGACCTAGAGGGTCATATGTGGCCTCGAGGCCACAGGTTCCCCACCCTTGCTAATCATTCAGTTAAGTTTTGATGACTACACTCACTTCCTGTTTATTCCATTGGAGATCATTCATATAACTATTCAGAAACTGTAACTCATGATAGTTGCTATGACTTTGGGCTACAAGGACAGTGAATTAGAAGGAAGATCACTTCACCCTAACCATAGCCAACAGCCCTGTATTTCAAGGAAGTTCTCGCTCCAGATTGTGGTGCTAGGGGATGATAGAGTTTTTTGAGAACCTGCCTAGCTCTCAGTCACCTCCTGCTTGAGCTAAAAGTAGGAAAACAGTAAGTCTCTTGCTTTACTTCATCCTTTGCTCTATCCTATTTATGCAGATAGTAGAGAATCAAATGTGAGGATAAGTACAGACTAAAAGCAATGATGTTAGGAACATCATATTTGTATGGTCCTGCTTTGCTTCATCCTTGAAATTATTTCATGATTTCCATCCCCAACGTCATTCCCTTCTGTGACTCTGAAGTTAGGTTAGAATACATTCTTCACTAAGCTGGAATAGAATAGAATAGGTGCTGAAATTGAGCTCAAGCTGAATTCATTAGTTTTATTGAGGAATCTCACCAAGCTGGGTCAGGCTCATGTCTCCTTAAGCTTATATGGCTCCACCTGGCCTGTTTAGGAGCGACGAAGTCAGCGAGGATATAATAGCTTACATTTCTATAGTGCTTTTAAGGTTTGTAATAGATTTTACAATAATGCTGTGAGATAGGTAATAGAAATTTGATCCCCATTTTAGAGATGAGGTAACTGAGGCCCAAAAAAGGTGGCTGACCCCTGTTCATAGCTCTGTTGAGTGTCAGAGTCAGATTTGAAGCCAGTCTTAATGATTCCAAATCGAAGGTTACTAACAGTGTACAGTACTATTGAAAAGTATTGAATACTATTGAAAAATATTGAATACTATTGAAATGCTATTGAATATTATTGAATAAGACTATCGATTACTATTGAAAAAGACAATTGAATACTATTAAAAAGACAGTGGATCTTGATATGTTGTTGTCCAGTCATTTTTCAATTGTGTCTGACTCTTTGTGTCCCCATTTAGGGTTTTCTTGGCAAAAATACTGTAGTGGTTTGCCATTTCCTCATCTTAAAGGTGTGGAAATTGAGGCAAACAAGGTCAAGTGACTTGCCCAGGGTCACACAACTGGTAAGTGTCTGACGCCAGATTTGAACTCAGGAAAATGAGTCTTCTTGAATCCAGACCTGCAACTCTATCCACTGCCCCACCTAGCTGCCCATCTTGGTGTATTTTCTGTAGTAGTACTAAAAATATTTTAACTTGGGGGAGGAGGGATTACAGAAGGTTAGAATTTGCCCTGTGACAAGCTTGTAATGCTTCAAAAGGTGATTATCCACTTCATGGACTTTTAGACCCTGTACTTAAACTTAACTTCATCCTTCTGTGTCCTGCTTTTGGAAAAAAGAATAGAAAGGGTACTAATCTTAGATGCCTTGAGGAAGGCAGTGCGGTTTCGTGGAAAAAACAGTATTCAGAGTCAAAGAACTTGGATCCAAATCCCAGATGTCCTACTTAACTGCTGGAGTGTTCTTGGGGAAATCATTTTGTCTTTATGGTCCTCAGATGTCTATAAAAGGAGGGAGTTGGATTAATTGGCTTTTGCAGACCCTTTTGGCTCTAAATTTGTGATCCTATGATCAGTGAAGATGCACGTTGGGTAGCTGGGTAGTGCAGTGGAAGGAGCACTGGACCTGGAGTCAGGAAGACCTGGATTCAGATTTGACCTCAGATACTTACTGACCATGAACTTGAACAAGTCACTAGTGCCATGACCCTTCCTTTCTATTTTGGTTCATTGCAGAACGGCTTCTGGATTCACTTATAGAACTATGGAGTCATGCTCAATGCTGCACAATCCATATTTACTTCATTCTATAGCACTTACACAAACTTTTACCCTATATCATGCATCTTCCCTAACACCTAACCCAATGCTTTGCACACTGTAAGAGCTTAGCAGATTTTTGTCAGTGAATGAGAGTCATTTATTCTGCCCTTATGACTAGGATCACCCCTAGCATCTCAGCCTTATATAATGGCTTGGATTCATCTCTCTTTTGAAATTATTTCAGAATCTCAATACTATCTATATGTGAAAGATCATTCCCTTCTGTGACTCTGGAGTTAGATTTGAGTACATTCTTCACTAAGATAGAATGTAATTTTAAATGTAAGCCCTTTGAAGTCAGGGACAATTCACTTTTGTTCCCTCTGTATCCCCCTGGAACACAAAAGGAGCTTAATAAATGCTTATTGATTGATTGGGAGCACAAGAAACTCTTACTTTTTATTATGTGGCCTAGAACTCACTTAGAACATGAGAACATTGTGGATGGATGATTCAAACTATAGTCATCATTAGGTCAGATTATACATTGCAATCTATGGCCTCACCACATACTCCCTATCACCTGCTTAAAAAAAAAATCTTAAAGATACACAGGGGCCCTCGCCCACTTTTGTGAGCTCTCTGGTAGTATGTGTTTGTTCCTCTTTAGGAGCCTTCCTTTTGAAAGTAAAAACTCATCAGTCAGGTAGCAGCAGGTCCCCTGGGGTGTGAGGAGAAGAATGGGAAAGTTGTTTTTGAATTGACTCTACTAATAGTGATCATCTGCATTCCTTGGCTGAAGAGTTACAGATTTGGGGAGATTAAAATGCATTCCTGTATTCTACTGGTATTATAAACAATTACTCAGAGAGAATGAGAACGTGCCTTTTCTTGCCAAAAGAATCTAGAGAAGCAGAAGATGGCAGGCTTGGAGGCTCAGAAGAGGCCACTCATGTTGGCGGCATTGAATGGACTCTCAGTGGCTCGGGTACCAGGGCGTGACATTAGTCAAGATGATGCATCTCGATTGACAATGGATGACAGGGTAAGCGTTGAACTTGCTAAACATATGTTTCCTATCCGAGTTTCTTTCCACCATAATTTCCATTTTTTTTTTAAGAAAAAAACTGCTTTCCATGTCACTTTGCTCATCATGTCAGACATATTTTCAACAACACACTAATTCATTTACTTAAGAATGCAGGAATTGTGAAATTCTCATCGTTGTTCTCCCTTTACTACATTTGATCAGTCCCTTAATGTTGCCTCAGTTTCTTTTTTATATTTGTCAAAGGGGTGAAGTGCTACTTGACTCAAATGACCAGTCCCATTAGCTGTATGACCTGCGAAATGAGGGGCTTGAACCAAGTGATTACTCAAGTCTCTTCTATGGTTATTGAAGCTACCTAACATATATAAAAGTGTGGCTCATTTTAGGAAACTTACCATATAAAAATCCACATTTGCAAAATATGTAACACAAAGGATTGACCACAAGCTTCCCGTACTGCATTTAAAGTATGAGTTGTTATACAGCCATTTGCTTTACCCACAACTGTTTAGGAAGATTTCCAGTGCAAAAAGTGTTCTACTTAATATTGCTCTTCCTTCATTGTTGAAGAAGACCAGTGACTCATATGGGTGATGTCTTGTCTTGCCAATGTATTGGATTTAAGTGAGGCAGGGCCATGCAAAGTCATGAGCCTCACTCTCCCCTCCAGAGCCATCAAAGTCCAGTGACAATTCAAGACTACTGGCGAAGGCCCAGGATGCAGTTCCTTGGCCTTTGTAAATTAAGGTCTTCCTTGGGCAAACCTACACACTCAAATGCATGAAAAGACACAAGTACATATTCACCCTCTCCCTGGTTATTACTCCCAAACTCCCTTGCCTGGAGCCCATTTATTTTATAGTGGAAAGGGTCCTGAACTTGAAAATCAGAGGACTTGAGTTCAAATCTCAGCTCCATTACATATAACCTGTGGGACCTTGGGCAAGTCCCTTTACTTCTTTCATGCTTTGTTTCACTATCTGTAAGATAAAGGTGTTGGACTACATGATTTTTAAGGTTTATTCTCGCTCTATTCTGTTACCCTATACTCTACTGCCATTAGGAAGTAGCAGAACCATGCTGGACAAATTTAACCTAGTACTAACAGAGCTCAGGTTTTTAAATCCTCATCTGGTTGTTCTCTGTTATTTTCATGTGATTAGTGGGTTGATTGACAAAAATGACTCTTAAGATACAAAGCTGTAAAACTTTCTTGAAATATGTTCAGAAAGAAACAATTGTGGTGAGGATGAAAGGCTCCATGAGAAATGTAATATATAATATAGAAATAGGCTCTTAACCAATAGTTACAGAGTGCTCAGTTTTCCCAAATTTAGGATTATAGAGGGAAGGGAGCCCAAAAGAAAATCGAGAAAAAACATCCTCACTTTACAGAACAGTCAGTCATTAAGCATTTGTTAAGTGATTAGTATGTAAGAAGCATTAAGTGCTAGGCATACAAAGAAAGGCAAAAATACAGTTCTTGCCTTCAAGGAGCTCATGTTCTAATGGGGGAAACAATATTCAGATAACTACATATGTGCAAGATAGCTAAGAGGGAAGCCCCTAGCGGTGATAGGGTGGCAGGAATGGAGAGACTGGGGAAGGCCTCCTGCTGAAGATTGGATTTCACCTGAGTGGGGAAGGAAGCTAGGGAAGTTAGGAGTTAGAGGTGAGGAGGAAGAGCAGGCTAGGCATGGGAGATGATAGCTGGTGGAAATGCATGGAATCCAGAGATGAAGTGTTGTGCATGAGGAACAGCAAGGAGTTCAGTGTAGCTAGATTGTAGCTGAACATGGAACAGAATAAAGAAGAAGACTGATGTGGTGGGAAGGTGCCAACTTATGAAGGGCTTTAAAAGCCTACTAGAGAACTGTATATTTGATCCTGGAGGTAGCAGGGAACACTGGAGTTTTTTTGAGTGAATGAGTATGTGTGTGTGTGGGGAGGGGGATGAGTGGAGAAGAGAGAAACAGAGACGGAGAAAGAGAGACAGAGAGAGAGAAAAGAGAAGAGGAGAGGCGAGGCAGAGAAAGAGACTGAGACAGTCGAAGGGAATGAGACTTTCTTGAAATATGTTCAGCTAGAAACAATTATGGTAAGAGGATGAAAGGCTTCCTGAGAAATGTAATGTATAATATAGAAATAGGCTTTTAGCCAATAGTTACCGAGTGCCCAGTCTGCCAGGATTTAGGATTATAGAGGGGAGGGAGTCCGGGGGGGTGTAGGATATAGGGAGGGAGAAAGAGAGAGAGAGAGAGAGAGAAATGGGGGGAGGACATGGTCAGACCCACACTTTAGGAAGATCACTTAGGCAGCTGCCTAGAGAATGGATTAGAATGGAATGAGGCTTGAGGTGCAGAGAGCAATGCATTGCAATAGTACCAGATTTCAAACTATATTACAAAGTGGTAACCATCAAAACAGTCTGGTACTGGTTAAGAAATAAGAGCGGTAGATCAGTGGAATAGACAGTACACAGCAGTATATTGACTTGTAGTGTATGAACATAATAATCTACTGTTTGATAAACCCAAAGATCCAAGATTTGGGGATAAGAACTCACTATTTGACAGAAATTACTGGGATAACTGGAAAGTAGTTTGGCATGGACTAGGTATAGACCAGCATCTCATACCATATAACAAGATAAGGTTAAAATAGGTACATGATTTAGACATAAAGGATGATATCACAAATCAGCAAATTAGGGGAGCATGGAAAATTTTACTTGTTAGATCTATAAGGGAAGAGTTCATGACCAAATGAGAAGGAGAGGATCACAGGAAGTATAATGGATAATTTTGATTACATGGAGTTAAAAAGGTTTTGTATAAACAAAACAATGCAGCCAAAATCAAAAAGAAAGCAGGAAACTGGGGAAGAAGTTTTAAAGCAAGTTTCTCAGATAAAGGCCTCATTTCTCAAATGTATAGGGTACTCAATCAAATTTATAAAAATAAAAGCCACTCCCAACTTGATAAATGGTCAAAGGACGTGAACAAGCAGTTTTCAGATGAAGAAATCAAAACTATTAATAATCATATTTAAAATGCCCTAAATTACTATTGATTAAAGAAATGCAAATTAAGACAACTCAGAGGTACCATCTCACATATATCAGATGGGTTAACATAACAGAAAAGGAAAATGACAAATGCTGGAGGAGATGTGGAAAAATTGGGACACTAATCCACTGTTAGTGGAGTTGTGAACTGGTTCAACCATTCTGGAGAACAATTTGGAATTATGTCCAAAGGACATAAAACTGTGCATATCCTTTGACCCAGCAATATCACTACTAGGCCTGTACCTCAGAGAGATCAAAGGAAAACTAAAGGGACCTATGTGTAAAAAATATTTATAGCAGTTCTTGTGGAGGCAAAGAATTGGAAATTGAGGGGATGTCCATCAGTTGGAGAATGGCTAAACAAGTTGTGGTATATGATTGTGATGGAATATATAATAAATGATGGAGATGATTTCAGAAAAACCTGAGAAGACGTGTATGAACTGATGCAAAGTGAAGTGAGCAGAATCAAGAGAACATTGTACACAGTAACCACAATGTTGCAATGATGATCAACTGTGAAAAACTTAGTTACACTGATCAATATAATAATCCAAGACAGTTTGGAAGGATTCATGATGAAAAATGCTATCCACCTCCAGAGACAGAACTGATAAACTCTGAGTGCAAATTGAAGTATATTTTTTTTTACTCTATTTTTCTTGCAAGATGGCTAACATAGAAATAGGGTTTGCATAATTTCACATTTAAGATGGATATCATATTGCTTGCCTTCTCAATAGGTGGAGGAGGAGCTGGAGGAATGGAAAGACTTTGGAATTCAATTTTTTAAAAATAATAAATCTTAAAATAAACAAGCAAAAAGAAATCATTGCAATAGTCCTAGTGGGATGTGATGAGTACCTATAGAAAGGTGGTGATTGTGTTAGACAAGAGAAGGGCACATGTGTTATTGATGTTTTAAAGGCTAAAAATAGTGTGATTTGACATTATATTGGACATGCAAGGTGAGTGTGAGTTAGAAGATGAGAATGACACCAAGGTAGTAAGTCTGGGTGACTGGATGGTACCTTCAATAATAATAGGAAAGTTGGGAAGAGAGGAAGGTTTTTGGGAAAAGATAATGAATTCAATCTTGGACATGGTGAGTTTGAGATTTCAATGGGATGTACAGTTTGAGATATCCTAGAAGCAGTTGGTAATTATGGAAGCTGGCAGTATAAATATGGGAATCATCTGCACAGTCTTAGTATTAAAACCAAGGTAGTTGATGAGATCGAGAGAGATAGTACAGAGAGAAAAGAGAAGAGCACTTGAGACAGGGTCTTGGGGGATACTCATGGTTAGTGGGCATGACCTGAATAAAGATCTAGCAAAGGAAACTGTGGAGTGGATAGATAGAATGAGAACTAGAAGAGAGCAGTGTTATGAAAACATAAGAATATTCCAGAGAAGAGGGTGATTGACTACATCAGAGGTTTCTGAGAGGTCAAGAGAGATGAGGGTTGAGAAAAAGCCATTAGATTTTTCAATTAATAGGTCATTGATGACTTTAAAGAGAGTAGTTTCAGTTGAATTATGAGGTAAGAAGCTAGATTGTAGAGGGTTCAGGAAAGAATTTATTTTTCACAAGATATTTATTTGGGAAACTGGGGGTTTACAGAAATGATTGGGTCAAATGAGTTTTGTTTTTGTTTTTGTTTGGATGAGGGAGATATGGGCTCATTTAAAAGCAGCAGCCAAGGAACTCGTAGTTAGGGAGAGACTGAAAATTAGAGTCAGAATGATAGTGATAATTCCCTGGAGAAGACTGGAGGACAGGAGACCAAGCGTGCATGCTGGGATGTTTGCTTTGGTAATGAGAATGGCTGCCTGTCTTTTCATGCCAGATAGAGATGAAATAGGAGATACTGGAGGAAGACATCTGAGTGGTGTGGGAAGAGGAGGAGGGAAAAAAGGGACTTCTTCAGTATTTTCAGGGTTATAAGCTAAGTCCTCAGGTGAGAGTATGGGGGGCGGGGTATGTGTTAGAAACCATGGAGGCATGAGGAGGGATGATAAGTGTTAGAATAGCTGCTGTGGTGAACTAGATAGTTGATCAATTAGGGAGGCGTTTAAGGATAAGCTTGCTGCAATGAGGGCTCAGTTGAGGCTGTTTAATATAAATCTATAGGATTTAGAATTATAGATGTATGGAAAGAAATCTCAAGAGAAAAATCTGGCAAAAGCCTATCATTTTAAAAATCAGGAAACTGAGACCCTTGAAGGTTAAGCAGCTTAACTACAGCTATTCCCCAGTATTGTGTCAGATGATCAATTTGAGCTCTTGTCTTCAAAAAGAGGTGATAACAGATTGTGTAGCAAAAATGGATTATCCTTTGGAGTTTTACCTTCTGTCTGTGCTTCACGTCATATTCTTTTGGAGGTCCTGATGAAAAATAATGTGGCCAAAAGAAACTAGAAAGAAGGAAGGAGTTTTGATAATCCCCACACTAACTCAGTATTCCTAGTTTCATTGAGACTTAAATGTATGCTCTAGCATACTCTATCAGTGCTGTAATCATAAGCATATTTTAAAGGATACGTTTGTATTTCAATCATTTAAAAATGACAAAATTGAAAAGAATTATAATTTATGTCCTTTTGCAGTTTAGAACCCTGAAGAAGAAGTTGGAAGAGGGATTGGTATTTACAGAATATGAGCAAATTCCAAAGAAGAAGCCAGATGGTGTTTTTACTACTGCCACACTCCCTGAAAATGCTGAGCGAAGCCGAATCCGTGAGGTGGTCCCCTATGAGGAAAATCGTGTTGGGCTGGTACCAACCAAAGAAAATAGCACTGGGTATATCAATGCCTCCCATATCAAGGTAAATGGACAAGTGTGTGGGGAGGTTTTGCAAGACTTGTGTGTTAAAAGAATAAAAGAATGAGGAAAAACTTGAGGGGTTCCCATTGTAATGTTTGGCTTTTTCCCAAACCCTTAGGGGATGTTTCTGAATGCCCCTGATTTTCTTAGTAAACTGGAAGGGCATGCCTGTTACTGCAGAGAGGGGAAAAAAAAAACCAACCGAGCTAATACTCTCAGCAAGAAAGGAGAATCAAGTACACATACTTTGGGTACCCATTCTCTGCAAATGAATTAGGCTTTTTACTTCCCATGTGGATTATATCTAATTGAATTTATAAGAGAGATATCAATCAAGTCATTTTAACTTCGTTATTACTTTGTGAAACCTATTGCAGAAATTAAAGCTACATCAGAATCCAATTTAAAGTGGGTTGTGTTGTAAAAGTTCCTTCATATATAAATCCCTTGTTTCCTGGCGGGGTGGAGGCAGAAAAGGCTGTAGAGATCAATGAAGATCAAAGAAAAGTTGGGAATTTCTCCCTGGTTCTTGGAAGCTGAGGCCTAGTGTTTCATTCTGGTGAGGAAGCTCTTGTTGGCCATGGCCACTCCTGCTGCACTTGGTGCTTCTGGCCATAGTAAGTAGATTCCTGTACAAAACCCAGCAACCGGGCTGCCAGACATCTGGCACACCTTCACACTACTCTCTCTTGTGCTTCTGGATGTTCCAAATCATACCAGTCCTAGGGCACATGGCATTCTTCCTAGGGCAAAGGATCTTAACCTTTTTTTGTGTGTGACATGGACCCCTTCTGCCAGTCTGGTGAAACTTATGGAATCCTCAGAATAACGTTTTCGAAAAATTAGTAGTTGAAGGAAATAATAAATTTCAGGTAGAAGTTAGTGAAAATAAAGATGTAATTCTTTCCTATTCAAGTTCATTGACCCCCTGAAATTTTTCCATGGATCCTGATCTTAGGGATAGGCTGTGCAGTGCCTGTCCCAGAATAGAGTGCTTCAGCGGCAAGAGGAAGACAAGAAGACTGTAGTCAGGGAGGAGTCTCAGGATGGTCAGAAGAGGATCTATGCAAAGCTTTGTTGGGTAGTCCTGTTTAATAGGAATGTATATGTATAGCCTATATCAGATTGTGCGCCATCTTGGACAGGGAGGTGAGGAGGGAGGGGGAGAAAAATTTAAAACTCAAAAGCTTATGGAAGTGATTGTTGATAAATAAAAATAAATTAATTAAAAAAACATAAAAAAGAAATAGTTTTCCTAATTAGCCAGTACCTCACTTATGGACTGAATTTGACTCCTTCCTGTACCTGCTGGTACAACCTTTACTTCCACATTATGAACTGTCCCATGGAGAAGACCATTGGTTTGCTGGTCATGTCAGTGGTCAGTGGCCTTTGCCTCCTATTCATCTTGCTAGGTGTTTTGAAGGAGTGTGGCTACAGCTTGCCTGGTTCCGATGACTTCAGGCTGAGTTGGAGCAAATGCACAGACAAGCCCAGAAGCACATGGAGATTGTATGATGACACGGCTTCTCTTCAAGACAGAGCTGTGACCTCTAGAGACGTTTCTGTATCTTGTACTTGGGTCTTCTCTCAGGTTGAGGGAGAAGTGAGAAACTTGAAATCTACAGGATGAAGACTGTGACCTCTGCCCTCCAAAAAAAAAAAGCTTGATATTTTCAGTAATTTTTTTTTTGTGTTCATGTGTTTGTTTGTATATCAACCATATTGTGTGTATTGGGGTGTTAAGGGAGGACTAGCAACTTGGTGTGAGGATTTGCTAAGTCCTTTTTGGGGCTGCTGCTCATCTATCTTTGGTGTCCAGACAGTTACCAAACTCTCACCTGTGGCTCCAAGCAGCTGTAACGTGTGCAGCAGCCATACCCAAGTAAAACTGTCTCAGCAGATGAGCTTAACCATGTTGTGGGAAATCAGATGCCTCAAACCCATTGATGAGTTGAGGGGACGTCTACCCCAAGCATATGAAGATGTCCCCCTGGCAGAATGGGCAGATGTGAGCAATTTGTTCCAAAGCAGGTGCTGTGCAGCACTTAGAGCTTGGTCAGACACTGAAAACACCAACGTCATCTACTTTGTCCCAGGCCAGCACCATTTGTCTTGACTTTTCTCTTGCCCCTGGACTCTGATGACTCTGAAAGAGAGAGTGAGACCAATGACTTTGTGCAACCCTGTGTCACTTAAATCCAATTAACACACGAGTCGGGATGTCATCCTGTGATGTCATTGGTCCTCTCTGAAAATGAAGGACAAACAACAACAGTAACAACATATCAGCAATGCAGTAGAAAGTAGAATAACTTCTTAGTCTGACGATTCCTTTGTGTTAATTTGGTAGTGGTCATTATAACCTGACCATATGGGGATTGCAGTGAGAATTCAGACTCTGGTTTAGGTGAGATCAGTCAGCTAATCACCTCATTAGCTATAGAGGGTTTACATTTTGTGAAGGGCACACAGATCTTTACAACACTGTTCTCACAGAATTTGAATTATTAAAGACCTGTAATTAGTAGTTCTTCTTGTATATGGGTGACCCAGTTATGAGCAATCTTTTTGTGTTTTTCTTAGGATTTAAGTTTAGTCCACTACACTCTATCCAGAGTCAGAATTTGTAGTTAAACAGTGGATCACATGTGCACATACATGCATGCATATGTACTTTCCTTAGCTAGTATATGACATAAACCAAGCTAATTTATTAAACCAATTAGTATATTTTGCACACCTTATGTTTTCCTTCCTTGCTCATTTCCACTATTTTATTTTCTCAGTGGACGTGATGGGAACTCATGCACATTCTTGTAATGACAGTGTAAAAAAACCTGTGTATATGTTTATGATAAAGGTTGAATGAACCACAGCTCCGAGAAGTTTTTTGAGAGTGTATTCCTGGTCCTCTTAGATTTTCAATCTTTGATGGTAACCTGTAGAAATATTGGCACATTCTTTTTAATTTCCACTAAGTATTAAAGTACCTCCCAGAATCGGTTGTGATCACTTTCTTTTTGTAGCATAAAGAACGTGCTGTGACTAGATACAGAGTTTTTGTGTCCAAAGTCAACTACTTCCATTTTCTTTGTACTCATGTGCATTATCAGAAGAATCCTGGTAGGCAGAACAACCAGTCCATTGTTCAGTTTATTTATGATGAGAGAAAGAGAGAGTTAGAGAGGAGAGGAATAGGGGGATGTGGGGGGGAGAGAGAGAGAAAAAAGGAGAAGAGAGAATAAAATCAGTATCATAGCCTTGATTTATGGTCTCAAATTGATGCTTCAAATCATAGTTTTAACATAGAATACTAGATCAGTGGACAATCTGCTAAAAGTTATATGTAGCAATATTTTTCTCTCTCATACTCATAATAGAATGTCACACCCACCATTTTCCATTATTTTCCCACCTTTGGAAAGTAACTGTTAGTTCTTAAACTGTGTCCAGCAGACTTATTACCAGAGAACCAGTCCCTCCACCAACCACTTTCTGAAAGGCTCATTCATCATTTGTAGCCATAGTAGCCATAGCATGTATATAAGAGATCCATAGAGCATGCAAAAACATGTAATCATGGTTTCAGAATATAGTTTTATGACATGTCAGTATTTCCTCCCTGGGTTCCAAGGGACAGTTAAAAGAGGCCAAACAGATGTTCATTTGCTTAGAAGGTAGAGTCATATTTGTGAAATTTACCTTAGTAGCTTGTACTGTCTGTGTGTGTATGTATTTAATTCAGATTTTAATAAACTCCTGTTATTGCATGAGAATGTGGTAAAATGCTTTAGGCAGTATCCTCTTAGAATATTTAAAGGTCACGTGTAACATGTGTCCGAAAGGCTGATGTTGAGAAGCACATTTCCACAGATAAGCCCAACTTTTAAATGCACATGAATTTTATTTCCCACAAATAATAGGAAAATGCAGTTAACAGCTTTGACTCAAACATGCCTAGATGATGAGAGGGCAGTTGACAAGGTTTTGCCTAGTTAGAATCATGTTAATGTGTTATTTCATGGGACATAAAAAATGGAATGAAAAATCAATGCCAAACTCATGCACAAAGTTCATTGCTTTCATGATCATTTAAGGATCGGCATTGGTTGATGAGTTTAAATGAACTGGCTTGTCGATTTTCAAGTCAGTTTTGTGGCTCAGGGCATAGAGACTCCTTTCAAAGCATCCATTTGCCCCTCTTAGCATAGCCTTAAGCACTTTGGCCAGTCCTTTTGTTTGTGGCTGTTTTCATCTGATATTTATAACTCTGTAGTGAACAGTGGCCATGAACTACATGTTAGTATCATTTCAAGATCACTTCCATCTGCATAGGGGTGATTTGTCTTTTTCCAAGATCACAAGCTCATCTCATCTCATTTTGAAGGGCATATGAGGTTGGGTCTATGGGATTGTTAAGGGAGAGCTGTTGTAGAGTATGACCGAACAAAGAACTGTGTGAATTTGCAATACATCTGCTCAATGCTGGCTTACAGAGCATCAGTTTTTACTCCTACAACAACTCCCTGAAACAATTTTTTAAAAACCCAGGTGTCTTTAGTTGTTATGCTTATGGAAAAGTGGAAGATTTTTAAAGTGTAACCTTTTGTTCAGTATTTAGAGAAACAAAAATTGTTTTTGTTTGAGACTTGAAGTTCAGCAGAACAAGCTGAAACAACATAATCATTTTTTATGTATATTCTCAGCTTTTTGTAAATTATCCAAATCTGCATTTACAGTCAGGAAAATGAAGTATTGGTGGAAAGAAGCTCCCTTGAGTTTAAAGCTCACCAACTTTGTGACTGTGGAAAGAGATGGGTTTTTCCATTCTGCTACTAAGTTAATTACCCTTTGGTAATTAACCAGTACAGGAAAATGGCATTAACTCTTTCAGGCAGTCACATTCCACTGTGATGAATTACTTTCCCCATGCATTTTGAGTTTTTGGATGAATAGCTGCATTCTACACAAGTGTGTGTGTGTGTGTGTGTGTGTTGCAATAATGTTATTTGTGAAGCTTCAGCTTCTGGCTTGTGGTCTAGGTAAGAAAGAATTAATTGATGATGTCCTTTCTTTTGTTGGTCAGTTATCAAGACAAAATCATTTAAAATGAAATTGTCTTTTTATCCCTCATTTTACTGGTATTTCCTCATGCTAGAATCTGACTTTTTGTGTGAGGGTAGTATGTGTGAGGGTGGGGAAGGGCGGGGGTGTGTGTGTGCCTGCATGCATGTGTATTATTAGAATGCTAGGATTGAATAAGTGATTTGAATATTCCTCCCCAAATTTTCTTGAGTTTATATATCTGAAAAGGTTTTGTATCCCTCATTAGACTGGAAATTACTTGAGTGTAGGGGCCTTCCCCACCTCCCATTTGTATCCTCACTGTTTACCACTGTATCTTTCATTTGGTAGATGCTTCATAAATGTGTATCGAATAGAATTGAATTAGCAGCAGAAACGTCTAATTTATCCAACCACGTGAGATGTACCATAGTACATGTCCCCTTTTATTTTCGAAGATTCATTATCATAAAGCATATTCAAATAAACATTTAACACGTGGCTAGAGCAAAGGATCTTCATGCTGTAAGCATCTGAGTTAAACTGTATTAGAGTGTTGGGCCTGGAGTCAGGAAGACCTGAGTTCAGAGCCAGCCTCAGATATTTGCTAGGTGCATGCCCCTCAGGGCAAGTCATTTAACTTCTGCTTGCCTCAGTTCCTCAACTATAAAATGGGGATAATAGCACCTTCCCTTTCCCTTTCCTTTCCCTTTTTCCTCTCCCTCCCCTCCCCTTTCCCCGTTCCCTTTCATCTTCCCATTCCCCTTCCCTCCCTTTTCCTTTCTTTCACCTTAGTTTTTGGCATTTTTATTAACATGTATTTTTAAGATGGGGAAAGAAGGTTGCATGGGATTAGTGTTAATGGTGTTCTTTCTGATTTTTAGGTAGCTGTTGCTGGAGAACAATGGCATTATATAGCAACTCAAGGTCCTTTGCCCCATACCTGCCATGACTTCTGGCAGATGGTATGGGAACAAGGGGTGAATGTGATTGCTATGGTCACGGCAGAAGAGGTATGTGGAATGATGGCAAATCCTTTGCCATGACAATGCAATATGATTGTTTTTGGAACTTCCCCCCCCCCGCGACGTCTTCCCCTGGATCCTCTTTGGATCATAAGATCAGAGACATAGGGTTGAAAGGGACGTTATTTATCCATCATCTAGTCCAAATTCCTCATTTTAGATGTGAGGGAGATTGAGGCCCTAGGAGGTGAAATCACTTGCCCAAGTTTGCATGAGTAGTAAGTGACAGAACCTGGGTTTTGAACTCAAGTTCCACGGCTCCAAATTCAGCCCTTTTTCAACCTAACCCCACTGCCTTCTTCGCATCCGTTTATTTTTCTCATCTTTTCCATGTAGGCTTTGTTATTGTTGTTGTTTTACTCCTAGAAATAATTTACTCTTGTAGCTTCCCCACTTCTGTCATCCCATTTTAAACTACTGCTTAGATTGCTATGAACCAGAGAGCAAAAATAACAAACTTCAGTTCAGCTGGATGACTTTTTGTTTGCTAAACAAAGCAACAATCTTTCCATTGGAATCTGAGAACCTTGGGCTGTGCTTGGTTAAATTGACATATATTCCAACCCTGGGCAAGGCCAGCTCCACATACCATCCTTCTTATCAGCTGAAAAGAGACCAGAAGCTGTTGTTCCTGTCTTTATTCTTTGGGGAGAGGAGAGATTCTTTTTATTCTCCTGCCAAGCCAAACAGAGTTATTTTATTGTAATTGGAGAATAACACCGCTGGCTGATCAGGCAGCCAACTTTGTGCTTTGCTCTTTAAGATGAAGAAGATGGAGGTTTCTTCTCTTGTCATCTGCACGGATTTTCCTACCAGCTCTTTCCTTGCCTTTCATTATCACCTAAGGTTTTACTGTTTGTAAAATGGTGTCACTTTCCTTTTCTGCCTCTTCTAATATTGGTAATGATAGTAATAATAATAATAATAATAATAATAATAATATACATTCTGGGTCCCTTTTCTGACTGTTGTAAAGAGGTGAGGAGAAAACAGAATTAAAAGAGACTTCTGTTTTGGTTGCTAGCCATTCAGAGTGGGTACTTTGCAGATTAATTTGTAAGATGATCATAATGGAAGACATCTAAATGTCCAAACCTAGTTCCAGGTATCAGGTCAAGTCTTGTTCCATGACCATTCTGGATGATTTACTCTTCTCTTAAAAATTTCAACGGGGCAGTTAGGTGGCGCAGTGGATAAAGCACCAGCCCTGGATTCAGGAGGATCTGAGTTCAAATCTGGCCTCAGACACATAACACTTGCTAGCTGTGTGACCCTGGGCAAATCGCTTAACCCCATTGCCTAGCCGTGCCGCCCCCCCAAAGTCATTAAAAAAAAGTCATTAAAAATTTCAACATCTTAACACCTCATTAGATTTCATAAACCTGGGCCCTAGAAATCATCTAACCAACTTCCTCATTTTACAGAAGAGGAAGCTGATGCCCCAGAGAGAAGTAATTTGTCTAACAATAGGTGGCAAGACAGGGACCAGAACTGAGGTTTCCTGATGCCCATTTCAGGTCTCTTTTTGCTAAAACATGCTGCCCAAATGCTAATAATCGGCAAGTATTACTTAATGTCTAACCAAAATCATTCAGGCTAAAACTTAAACTCACTCATTTTTTTTAATATAAGCCACAGCTGAAATTAAGAGAACTTCTCACCACTCCCCTCCCTTTTTTTTCTCCTTTAATTTTTAAATAGGCCCTTCTTCCTGTAGGCCTGTGGTGTCCAGACTTTTCCACTGTGGGATGATCTTTTGATTTCCGAAGATTCTTAGTCACCAGAGTGTGGGCTGGGTGTGGAAGTATGCTTAACAGTAAATGAGCTAGGATTGGACAGTGTGTGGGGGAAGGTTGATGGTAAGATTACAGCCATGAGATTTCCCCTGTGCTGGAAATCCTGTCAAAGAGGATGTATGGTAGACACTGCTGACCTTGAAAATCAGCTGGATAATTATATTTTTCTAGGTGGGTAAACCATAGGTTAGGTTCATAAAATGGATGTATCTCACTTTATGGAATAGAGCTTTGCCTGAGAAGTTCTGTGTCAATTGCATTTTAATAAAATCCTGTTTCACCTATTGCAGGGAATGCTATTCGTCACTTAAGGAACCCTGCTGAGAATCTTGTAAAGTTGAAAATCTCTTTGTAAAACAAATAACCTTTAACTATTCTGAAAAATCTGATAAAGTTTGAATTTTTTTAAAATTGAAGCAAACATATACGTCTCTGTAATTCACTCTTTCCTTGGTTGCTGAGAATGTGAATTTGTGTTTCTACTGGAATGAGTGTCTAAATCAGATACTATTTGCAAGAGGCAGTGGGTCTCTGGCTTTCTTCCCAGTATTCTCACTACTCACCTCATTCTCCTTCTATGTAAGAGACCGGAGAAGAAATTACATATTTTCAGAATGACTCTAAGCCAAAATATATACATACTATACTTTTTGGTGTCTTACCCTTTGGGAGTCTGGTGAAGGCAATGGACTATTCAGAACATTGTTTTTAAATGTGTAAAACAAAATACATAGGATTAGGAAGAAAACCAATCATATTGAAATATAATTATTAAAAAAAAAAAAGTAAGTTCATAGATTCCAGGTTTAAGAACCCCATGGGCCAATGAAGAGAACACTGGATTTGGAGTCAGTGGAGTCGAGCTTACACTCTGGTTCACTTACTACCTGTACAATCCTGACCAAGTTTGCTTAACCTCTCTGATTTTCTGCATCCTCACTTGTAAAATTAGATGTTTGGATTAAATAACTCCTAAAGTACTTTTTCATTATGATTCTAAGATCTTCTTAACCCATGATTAATTCTGCTTTTTTTTTTTTAGCCCTGCATTCCAGTATTTTCTATCTTCTATAAAATTTGATTTGATTTTTCCCATTTGTCCAGATGTTTCCATTTAGATATTAATTTGTAAGCAGTGTTGTCTTGGTGACCAAACTGGTGAAATGATTTTGTAAATTTTTGAGGTATTATATTGCTATTGAATATTCAGGATGGGAAAGTACCTAGGGTGGGATGATAAGATATGTCTGAGTTTTGGGGTTGTGTTCTTCATGAGGAAATTTATGGAAGACCATTGAGGACAAGCAGATTGTTCTTGAGTTTTAGCATCAGGAAGATACTTTAATATTCTATCTCATGGGAAGTAATGAAAATTTTTTAAAAATTTCCAATGTTATACTTGCTTGTGTAATGATTGTTACAATTATCTAAATCTTATGGAGAATTCACATTCTGCTAGACACTGTTCCAGGTTACTTTTTTCACAGAGAAGCCATTCTTCTCAGCATTTGATTGGGCATCAGGTTCTCCCCATAAGGGGGAGAAAACTGATGTCAACCACCTTTTCCCCCGGGACCTCTCATATAGCACTTTGCTTTGTGACTCAAAAATGCATTTATCATGTAATACTGCCTATTGTAATGCTTTTAAGTCATAACTTCTCAGGGGTTGTAATCTCCATGAAAGCAGGCACTGTCTGAAATTTATATCGTACCTTCCCCCTGCCAGCATAGTACTATACACACAGTATAGCTTAATGTTTCTTGAATTGAATTGAACCCATTTTCATTTTTGCTTTTTGTGTATGTGTGTGTGTATGTGTGTGTATATGTGTGCGTGGTTTAGGAAAGCGGAAGAACCAAGAGCCATCGGTACTGGCCCAAACTGGGCTCTAAGCACAGCTCAGCCACCTATGGCAAGTTCAAGGTGACCACAAAGTTCCGAACTGATTCTGGTTGCTATGCTACCACAGGTCTGAAGGTCAAGCATCTTTTGTCTGGGCAGGAGAGGACAGTGTGGCACTTGCAATATACTGACTGGCCAGATCATGGTTGTCCAGAGGATGTCCAAGGCTTTTTATGTAAGTTCTGTGTTTCATGAATGCAGTTGCTGAATTGCTTTGCCATCTGAAGACAAGCCACACAAGAAAGAGTAAAGTACTAAAGAGTCTCACTGAAGAGTCAAGGTTACAGTGCTAACAGCACATACTTATTACCTATGTTGTATTCTTGGTTACAGTTTGTTAAAGTGAAAACATTCTTTGATCCTGTAACTCTTCCCCCAGTGCCCCCCCCTTTTGTTTCTGAGACTGGGTCTTCCTGTCACTCAGGCAGGACAGCAGCTGTTCACAGGTTCCACCCCACTGCTGATTGGCATCAAAACTTCGACCTACTGTGTTTCCTCTTTAGTCTGGTTTACATCTTCTTAAGCAGTTTTGTGTCTCCCCCGACTCCTGGGGGCTGACCATATTGGTGCTAGCTTTAGCAGGGACATTCGATCAGCTTTAGCACTATTACAGCTAAGGTACACCCTAACTTTTGTTACCTCAGTAGCAGAGACTTAGGTATATGCTACATTGCTTCTCCGTCTCATCGTCTTACACTCCTCCTAACTGCTTGCATTAACTGAAACCTTGTTTTTCCTAAAGGATTCTACCTCTTTAAATACTGGTCACTCCTTTCTCCTCTCCCAACTTCACAGGGCTTATAGGAAGAATCTGTGTCCTCCTTGCCTCCCATAGGCACTTCCAGTTGCCTGTTCTGCCAGCATAGGTCCACGATCTTTGAATTTCATACTATCTGATGATACTGACATCTTTCTGATCTTTGCTGTTTTCATTTCCTCACACCCAGAGTACCCTTCCACCTCTCTCAGTTACTCTCATGAGTTTATGATAAAGAATACAGTTCAGTACATGAAGGGATTCACCACAGATGCCCGTAAGCGCTGTTCTGCAACTCTCTAGGGAGAGAAAAGAGAACCTGGGCTTGAATGTCAGGATAGAGGTTTTAATTCACCAGCAGAAAAAAAAAAAGTTCCTGACTAAGAATGAGAGAGAATAGAAAATCAATCATTTGTTCCTTCTGGTTGAGGCTTTCACTTACCTAAAGTACTAGGGGATCTAGAGAGGACCTTTGAGATTATTTAGTTTCACCTTTTTGTTTTATGGATGAGGAAATCTATGTCAAGATAATTGATTTGCCCAAAGTCACACAGATTGTAAGTTGCAGAGCTGAGATTCAAACCCAGGTGCTCTGATTTCAAATTAATCGCTTTCCACTGCTCTGTGGTGTATGTCTGTGTGTGATCAAATTATTTTGGGGGGCCCTTCTCAGACTAGAATTCATGAAAGTTTTATGAAGAGAAGGTTATAGAATTAGTTTCTCTGGGTTTTTACATGAATAATAAACTATATTTTTCCTGGAGTAATTTAGATGTTGCCCTGCCTAGAAACAAAAGGCAAGAAACAGATCATTTCTATTTTTTTCATCTTGAACTTAAATATCAAAAAAGAACATTTCTATACATGTAATAGAACATAAAAAGATTCTCTATGAGACTCTGAATCTCCATTTCATAGCATTTGCTTTAAAATATATGTATGTATGTGTGTATGATAACTTCTGTACATTACTTTCACAACTGCTTTTCTTGCTCGTGCTTCCTTCTGCACCTCCTTCAGTTTTCTTTGCATTTGAAAAAAAATTGAATTTTTTAGCATACTGACCATTTCTTCCCTCCTCCATTGAAAATTGAGAAAAGAAAAGAAAGAATAGACTTTGATAACAATTAAGCAAAGTTAAACAAAATGAATTCACACAGTGTTCAGGTCCAAAGATGTATGTCTCTTCTGTCCATCATCTCTCAGTCAGGAGGTGCTTCATCGTATGTCTCTTGAAACATGGTTGATCGTTGCATTGATCAGAACCCCTGTCCTTGTAGGAATTGTTCTCCTGGTTCTGCTTACTTCACTCTGCATTAGTTCGGTCTACTTAGGATCACCTGAAATGATCTTCATAATTTCTTACAAACCAATATTTCATTACATGCATATATACCACAATGTATTCAGTCATTTTCCACTTGTGTGATTGATTTTCTATTCTCTGTCACTCTAAGGAACTTTTTTTTCCTGCTGTTGAATTAAAACCTCTATCCTGACATTCCAGCCCAGGTTCTCTTTTCTATCCCTAGGGAGTTGGAGAATAGTGCTTATAAGCATCTGTGGTGAATCCCTTCATGTACTGAATTGTATTCTTTATCATAAACTCATGAGAGCAATTGAGAGAGGTGGAAGGGTATTCTGGGTAAGGTATCCCCTGAGATTCTATTTTTCTTTATTCTTTTTTTCTCCTTTTGCTCCCTCCTTCAGGATCAGGAAGATTTGTTTGGCTTACAGCTATTCTTTCCTTTAAGGAGCTATCATCCTCCTTAATGCTGTGTAACACATCCCCTTTCTCCCAATCCTTGCTTGTTTCCCTGTTGAGTTTGATGTATTTCTACACCAGCCTTGGGTATGTTGGGGGTGAGGGGGTGGTGTGGCTGTGGGTGTGGGTGTTTTACTCTCCTTTGTCTTTTTCAGATAAGTGAGGCTCATCTGATGCCTACATTCCTCATTCCTTGATGCCTATGTATATCTTTCTTTTTGTGCACTTGAGTTATGAGAACTAGCAGATTCCACCCCCTTCTTCATCTCTTCTATACTTTGTTGTCATTCAGTCATTTCAATCACGTCTGACTCTTCGTGACCCTGTTTGGGGTTTCCCTGGCAAAGATACTGGAGTGGTTTGCTATTTCCTTCTCCAGCTTATATTGCAGATGAGGAAACTGAGGCAAACAGGGTTAAGTGACTTGCTCGTGGTCACACAGCTCCTAAGTGTCTGAGGCCAGATTTGAGCCCAGTACCCTATTCACTGTGCCACCTAGCTGTTCCCTTTTCTGTACTAGTGTAGTCCTTTCAGCTTTGCAACAAGCTTCCTTCTGTTTCCCTTCTCCCAACCATGAGAACAGAACCCGTCTACTCCAGCACCTCTGTTTTTGTTTTTAGTTCTCAAAAACCCTTTAAAGACATTAAGATCCTAAAGGAACACTTGTTTCTTCTACCTCTAGAAAATGTGAGAATTATTTCACCATACATCTGCCATCTGCTCAAATATATTTGCTTTTCTAGGTTTCTCTGAACTTTTGGGATTTGTATTTTAAAGTTCCTATTCACATGTGGTATTTCCATAATAACTGCATGGAAATTCTTTATTCCATTAAAGGTCAACTTTTTTAAATAAGTTATTCTTAGTTGTAGGCCTTTATCTTTGGCCTTTTGAAGTATTATATTATAAGATTTTATCTTGTTTTTTAGTTATATCAGCCATAGTGATCCTGACTATAGTGCCTAGGTATCTGAATTGCTTTTCTCTGGATCCAAGGATTTTTTTTTCTTCTGTAGGGAAACTTTGTATTTTGGGTGTGACCTTCCTGGAATTTCTCCTTTTGGGGTTCCCTTCAGGAGGTGATTGGTAGATTCTATTTTTACTTTATCTCTTGGTTTCAAAAAGGTCTGGGAAGTTTTCAAAATCAATGGTTATTTAAATCAAGTAATTTAAATTTTCTTCCTCTTTTTTTAAAAAAATATTTTGATTCTGTTCTAATATTTCTTACTGCCTCATAAAAGTTTGGTCAATTCTAGTTTTTAGGGAGTTCATTACTTGAGTAGGATTTGTCCCCTTTCTTTTATAAGCTATTCTCTTTCCATTTCTTTCCTCTAAAGCTTTTATTTGTTTTTTATTTCATTTTTATCTCTTGCTTCAATTCTGATACATAGTCATGTAACCCTTATGAATATTCCATTATTTGTAGTAGAGTGAGGCCAAAGTTGGACTTTGCCCTGGGGCACAGCCTGTTGTTCAAAAAAAAAATCTGTCCTTTGTGGAGAGATTCAGTGTTGCTCAGAACATCACCCAGCAAGGTGAGAAGGCATAATGTCCAGATCCTGAAATTGAGCTCTCAGTGTCCTACTCTTCCCCTCATTTCAACCCCCCATTTTTTCCTTTCTTTGGTTTCTTCACAAATTAAAACTCTGCTAGGGTAATGAAAGTGAAAAAAGGGGGGAGGAGGCAATGCCTAAAACCAATCAGTTTAGTAACTGACTAGAGCTCAAAGAAATATTTTATCCCAGAAGTTAATTGAAAAGACATTAAATTTTCTCCTATTTAATCTAATTGAAGAGTTTGGTTTGAAATGGTGAAAGAATATGGATTAGGGAATATTAGAAAAGACTATGTTTTGTTGGTTGTAGGTATGTGAGTAATTCAATAAGTCTGGCTTAACAAATCTAAAATTTTCTAATGCATGTTTTAGATAAATATTCTTTCAGATTGTCTAAGGTTTATACTTTTAAGCTACATCATCAGCAGACCTAGAGAGTATTATCTTAGTCTCTTAAGAAATTTCTTCATTAAATTACTCTATGATATTATACCCATGCTTGTTAAAGACCGCTAACAGATATATCATCTTTTTGAATAGGACTTTGAACTTTCTTATGCAGTTGTTGAGCCCTATTTATCAAATCTCATTTCCCTTGTTCAAAAACCCACATGATAAATTTCATACTTGCGGAATAAAGGTTGTCTGCAGACAGATTTACATGTTGTCTTTTATCATATTTGGAATACTATGTAATCTACTGTTTCTCCCTTTTTTTTTAACCTTAGCTACTGGGAAACTTAGAGCCAGACTCAGTCCCTAATAGTAGTAATTAGCTTATCTCAAATGCCTGGTAACGCTATTCATGTATTCCTCTTAAATGGTTTATCTTATTAGTTCAATCCTTAATAATTCTGTCTTGCATTGTTATTGTTTAAAATTTTGTAAACCACATCAAATCTTGCTGGAAGTAGATTTTTTTAAAAAATAACTGTTTTTAAGTTTCTATACAGTATCTTGAACAGATAAGTATCATGAATTCTTTTAACTTGCAATATCTTCAGTAAATATTTAAATTGAATTAAATGTTTAGAACTTTTCACTAGCTTAGTCATGTTTCCTTTGACTTTATTTGTTTTAAATTTTGTAATATGGATGAAATGATTCACAAGTAGGAAATTTATCAATTTAATCACTGCAAAATGTCAATTAAGATTGACTTTTACCATATTTATTAAAGTAAGACTTCTGGATAACACATGATTTTCAGATATTTATTCCCTCCTTGTTCTCAGTGACCCATTTTGTTACTAACTGGCCCCTGTGTCTTTGTAATATCGGTCTTTCCGTCACAAATAGCAGTAAAGCATGAGTATCAGGCTGGACATTGGACAGAACACTACACACCTATTCTGCCAGGCAGGAGATGGAAAGGGATACAATTTGATGGGGGAAAAACATGACACATGTTGAAGCTAATCTTAAGTTATTTAATTTAATGCCTCAGTCATAACAGAATGAAAACCATAGTGAACACAAAGTCCAGAAAAAGTCTATTTAATCTCCATTTTAGAACCAAAAAATGAAGTCAAGTCTCAGTTGACATTCATGCCCATTCTACAAGGGAAGGGAAGAAAGGGGCAGATGGATGCTCTCTTTCCCCAGAAATTGGCTTTGACAGGCAAGAGTTTCAAGGGGACCTTGCTGTTGTTCTGATCCCAGTCTGTTAATAGCAGGAATTGCTGTAAGTAATGTCTAGAATCATCTGCTTATGGGACTTGGGGATTTGCAGAAGGGAAAAACCAGAATTTAATTTTTTAAAAAGAACTATTTAATTTAAAGGACCAAACTCTCCCATGGACTAATTGACTCCCAGCTGGTACTTTCTGGATCCAAGACTGCACCGTGGGTACTGGCCAAATAATTAGTGTCTTGTAAGAACTGTAAATTATTGTCACTTAAAAGGAAAAAAAAATGACTCTCTGAATTTTTTCAATCTTTATATGAAACCATGTAGGATTTCTGCAACATGATTTGCATTTTGTCTTACAGCATATTTGGAGGAGATACAGTCAGTGCGTCGCCATACCAACAGCATGTTGGATAATACCAAGAATTGCAACCCTCCAATTGTTGTTCACTGCAGTGCTGGTGTGGGGAGGACAGGGGTGGTCATTCTTACTGAGCTGATGATATGCTGCTTGGAGCACAATGAAGTAAGTTGGTTTGTATTCCATGTGACCGTCTTTAGGAGATAAGTCTACATGATGGAAAAATGACATTTTCTCAAGGGGAGAAAGATAGTGTATACAAATTGGTTTGTAAATGAAAATGTTTCATTCCTATCCTTTTTTGTCTACTCCTCCCCAAATTGTTATTTCTAGTTTTCCAGACCAAGGTTTCCTGTTGAAGTGAGTTTACTAATCTGGGCCAAATTTTCCCAGTTTGTCAAATGAAGAGGTTGAACTAGAATGGGGGCCCTTAATGATTTTTGTGGTCATAAAGACAGAGTGGATGGAATGCTAGATTTGGAGTCAGTAAGACCTGAGTTTAAATATAACCTCAAACACTAGATAATATGAACCTGAGCAAGGTTAGCACTCTGTTCCTTGATTTCCTCATCTGTAAAATGATGATTATAAAAGCATCTGCCTTCCAGGGTTATTGAGATAACATGAGATGATATTTGCAAAGCACTGTGCAAGTCTTAAAGCATTAGAGAAATACTGATCATTATTATTCTATTTTTATTATTATGGGATCCCTTTGGTAGTCTACTGAAACCTATGGACCTCCTTAAAATAATGGTTTTAAATGTATGAAATAAAATCCATCACATTACCAAAGAAACCAATTATAATGACAAAAAGTATTCCTTATCCTTATTTTCCTTATGTGTAAAATTGTGATACTACTACCTACGCTACCTACTGACAGAGACTCTTGTGAGAATCAGAGAAGCTAAAATCTATGGAAACCCTTTTTAAAGTGTCAAGCACACGGATACAGGGGGTGATACAACGAGAAGTGGACATTTGGAGACAGACATTTTAAAATCCTCTTCGCATTTTGCATTTGCTTTAAGAAACTTACACTCTTTTTCAGACCCTCTGATTTCGTTGTGGGCTGTTTTCGTAATGGGTTATTTTTATTGTATACTTTTGAGGTATTTTTTTCCCACACTAATTCTGACTTGTCCAGGTATTGGCTCAAAAAAAAAATAGAAACGTTGGACAAACCTCATTCATTAACCCAAATATCACACATCCAAATGCTGGTCATAATAAAGATGTCTTATGAGAATATGTTTTCTTTTACTGGCAGTAAATTATTTTTTAAAAGAGGTCAATTTGCTGTATTGTAGAATCAGCTGTTAATATGCTTTATGATAGCTGATCCCCAAGGTCTCAGTATGTAGAGATGTGACTTCCTCTCTACTTGTTGGAATAGTTTGCTATTCTGAATCTTCAGTTCACTTAGGCTGTTATTCCATTACTTCCATGGGGTAGAGGGACTGCACGAAAAGAATTCATACTTCCTACAGTCTTGAGTGTTCAATATAGCTTAGATAAGACCAGCAAAATTTAAAGAATAAATGGTAATAGTAGAACCTTCCTAGAAACAAAGTGGGTCACCGTTGATTGAGGAATAGCTTAACAAAGTGTGGTATGAATATTATTGTGCTGTAAGAAATAGCAAACATGATGAATACATTTGATGTTCAGTTGTATCTGACTCTTTGTGACCTCATTTTGGGATACTGGGGTGGTTTGCCGTTTCCTTCTCTGTCTCATTTTACAGATGAGGAACTGAGGCAAATAAAGTTAAGTGACTTACACAGGGTCACACAGCTAGTAAGTAAGTGTCTGAGGCCAGATTTGAGTTCATGAAGATGAGTCCAAAGCCAGTACTGTATCCACTGTGCCACCCAGTTGCCCTTGATGAATCCATAGAAGCATAGAAAGACTTCAAGGAATGCAAAATGAAGTAAGCAGAGTTAGGAAGACAGTATACACAGTGACTACAATTATGTAAATGCAAAGAACAACAATCACGAAATAATTGAAAATTAATGTTGTAGAATTACAAGGAACAAAGTCTGGCCTAAAAGAGGCAGGAGAAAACATCTGCCTGCCACTCTTTTCCCTAGGTGGTGCTTGGTGGTTAACACTTTGTGGTTGTAAAAGTTCTAATATAACCTTTGCTTAAGCAATGCAGAAAACTGATGAGATAGAAGGAAATTTTGTTTTAAATGGGAAAGCATAATGCACAGTCTTTATCAGAATCAGGATTACAATTTATATAATTACACTGTCAAGGCTATAGTTTGAAATTCACATTGAATAATATCTTATGAAAGGTGTTTATATTGAAACCTGGAAATTTAGACACTGTTCAACATTATGCACTGTTCAAAGGCATATAAAAATCTTGTCTGTGAATGATTAGCTACAGAATGTTGTGTAATATAGATGGGAAATGGGTGAAAGAAGTTCCATCCATCTCTTACTGTGAAAAGGCACTCTTAAGAGAGGGGGATGGACTCTCATGCGGCATGGGGGACTAGCTAAATGAATAAAAATTTTTATCACCTCCTTCCATTTTTCTCCCTATATTAGAATTTTTTCTTGTGACTCTCTTCTTCTCTGTTCACGGTCACCCGCATAGTGCCTTTGATGGAAAAGGTGGGGGGGGGCACCCAAATCCAAATACAGCTGTTATTGGTTAGGTAAAATACATGAAATCACTCTATATGGGGATGTTTTTTATGTGTCTGTAGCTCATAACGGGTGGGAAAGTACAGGATAATCCATTGGAGAAAGAAAGGCATATTTAGATTCCCCTCCTTTTTTCTGCTTTGTTGTATCCCTTTCATCTCCCCATTCCTACACCTCCCTCTGTCCCTCTATTTTGTTCAACTTGAGGAGCAGTGTTTAGTCGGCTTTTCCTGACATGAAAGGTTGTTCTGTTCTGGGCTCTTTGGAGAGCCATCAAAGCCTGAGCCATGATGATGTGATGACACAAGGGCTCATTGATCTGCAGATGTCATTGGCCCAGTAGAATGCAAACAATGAGCGTCAAAGCCAGGACAGGACTGAATGATGGGCTTGGCTACTAGGGCCTGGCTTCGACTCATTTTTGTGTGCTTGGCTCAACCAAGCTCTCTGTGGTGTGGCTGAGCATAACTGAATTCCTAAGCACCTCGTTGTGTGCCAGAATATTCTCTGGTCGAACCTAGCAAAGCCAAAGAGAACTTCTGTCCTCCTTGATAGCCAAAGGTGATGTGATGACTCTTATTATTTTTCTCTGCCCTACAAAAAGCACAGATAGAGACAGGTTTTCATCTGTTCCTTTCTCCATCATAATCAATTGGTTAAGAAAGTATATTAATTTTGTTATGGTTCAGTAGGCAGGTGGTTCAGTGGTCAGGCATGCTAATTGAAATCAGGCCCCATTATTTTTTTAAAACAAATCTTATCAATGTTGTTGTTTTTACATGGCTTAAATTTCTCCCATAACAAAGAATTTTTTTAAAAGATGAAGTAGAGAAAAAAATCAACAGCAGTGATGAATGCATTGAAAAAATCTGGAAATGGATAGTTTCATACCTATGGACTTCCTACCTCTTCAAAGGAATGGAGGAGGTATCTTCTCATATTTATTCTTTGTAGTAAGACCCCATTCTTTTGCCAAAAACAAAAGAAGTTCCTTGTTATTATCTTCTATATTTCTCCCTGCCTTTCCCTTTCATCCTCCCCCCTTTCCCAAAGATCCACCTTGGACCTTGCCAGGTTAAAGTGCAATACTGTGGCTGTGTGCTAGAAAATTAGATTCCCTTTTTTCCAACCAAATTTCAAAACATACTTCAGTCCAATTTCCACCATTCTCAGTATAGGAAGCCTTTAGTACCATTAGATTAAATACCTTAGCATTCTAACTTGTATATGACTTAGAATTTGTTCTTCCAGTGTTAGGAAGATGCTTTTTCACTCTAGGAACTCAGTTTTCTTTTGCATATTTTTCTTATCATGAAAGAGATTATTAAAACCACTGAACCAGGCAGCTAGGTGGCAAAGTGGATACAGCACCGGCCCTGAAGTCAGGAGGACCTGACTCTAGTTCAAATCTGGCTTCAGACCAAACACTTGACACTTACTAGCTGTGTGACCCTGGGCAAGTCACTTACCCCCAATTGCCTAGAAAAAAATAAAAATAAAAACCACTGAACCAGAGGTTTCTCTGTGAGGTTTTGACATATTCTAAAGGTTGCAGCAGCACATGGCACATGGATCACTGGATTTGGATGCAAGATTCAGCCCAGCATTCAAATCCTGCCTCTGCTGCTTATTCTTGGCATGAGTTTGGGCAAGGCATTTCCTCTCTCTGGGCCTCTGTTTTCTCTTCTCTAGAATGAGGGTTATTGGACTATATGACACCAGAGGTCAGTTCCAGCTTTAATTCGATGATCCTATGCATAACTCTTCACCATGCTCTATAATCTTGTTTTCTCATGCTTTCACTTATCTGAATGCTGCCAGTAAAATTTTAGTGCTCAATCTATTCCCCACCCCCCCCACCCCCCTGGAAATGGCAGTTCTGTAGTTTGCAAGACATTCTCTTGACTGAACAGATTCAACTGCCTCCCCTGCCCAGAAAGGCTAAGTTTTTACTTGGCACATGGCAGATATCTTGAACTTAATGTTTTTGTGGGTTTTTTTACCCTGTGTTGGGAGGGAAGGGGGGAGGAGTCAACTAGCAAGACTGAGCAAATGCCAATTGCCTCAGTTGATCCTTTTACTAAACTGTCCCTTAGAGCTAGGGGTGGTCATGGAGAGATCCCGTGGAGATCTTCCTGAGGAAGTTGTATTGTTCCCTGGTCAAAGAATTAGAGCTACTATAGTCCTCCATGCCCTGAGTCAGTGACTTAAATCATAGACCTGCGGAATGATAGAGCTGGAAGTGATTTTAAAGATTGTCTTCTAAAAAAATCTAAAGATGTGAAAAGATTTCTTCATTTTGCAAATGAGGAAACTGAAGATCCTTGAAAAGTTAAATGACTTTCCTGAGTTCACACAACGATTACATTTCCAAGCCCACACTCTAGTCTCTGTGCTTTTCTGCTATACCCCATCCTTGAGTACCCTTCAGCAGGATCTGATTTTTACTGATTACATTTCTATCTCTTGAATTGCTTTCTGGAAAAAGCCCCTTAATTGAATCTTTAGGCTTCCTTGTCTTCATGGTACTAGATACTATGGAACAGAGTACAAGTTGGCAGAAACAAAAGATCCCTAGCCTCATGGAACTTACTGCCTGACCTTTGATTTTTGAATATGGTGGAAGCTCAGGGCCTCCTTCCCATTAGTGAGCTCTTCCTGAAGCTTCCATTTTGGGGAAGGGCCCCCAGATGACCATCCATCCATGATTCTCTCCCACCCCCCAAGTGGATGCCTTCCCCTTTTCAGCTCCCCTTTGATGTGTAATCTTCCTCAATTAGTATGCAATCTCACTTAGGACAGGAAATAACTTTCTTTTTTCTTGTATTTGTATCCCCAGTACTTCACTTGGCACCGGGTACATAGTAAGACTTGTCTTGTGTACAAATCTTTTTTCCCCTTCTCTTTAGTCCCTAAGGACTCCATTTTTAAGTCTTTAGTGTGCAGTGTTTAGTTAGCTGTAGAAAAGGCTTTGTGTTGACTTTCTGTATATTTTATCTCTTTATCTTTGTTCATGTTCTTCTCCATCAATAGAACATAAGATCCCTGAGTACAAGAACTGTTTTTGTTCTGTTATGTTTTTTGTTCTGTCTCTGTATCCCCAGAGCTTAGTATAGCGCCAGGCACATTGTAGACATTTAATAGATCTTATTGAATGCATTAATGTGAGTGTGTAAGAGAGAAATAGCATGAATTTCATTGTAGGTGTGTCTAGTATTTTTTAAAAATGATTTCTTGTGCTTTAAATGCTAAGCAAAAGCATACAATTGGAATTGTATTATTCCATTATTTGAAGCTTCCGGGTTGTCTTTGCCTTTTATATGTCACTTTATGTCATAAATTGTAAGGGCACTGAGGCTTAGAGCCCTGCCTCATTAACTTATACATACAGGTGTCATTATAAGGCTTTTGCATTTTTTCCGAAGAAGGTTTTTAATGAATGGAAATGGCCGTTGGTGTCTGATAAGAAATATCTCCTGACCTTGCCTCCAGCCCCACAAACCACTTTGTTATCCACCAGATGTTTGGATTATAATTACGTTGTGTATAGCTACTTTGTAGCTTGAAATTTATATTGAATGATGTCTCATAAAAGATGTTTGTACCAAAATCTGGAAATTCAGGTATTGTTTTCTGTTAACACTAAATGGACTGTTTAACTATTCAAAGACATTAAAAACACTTTGTCTATAAAAGATTAACTACAAAATTATATGTAGTCTAGGTGATACTCTATTCATACTGTAATTACTTCATACTTTCAAAGTACACTTTCATATAATATCTCATTTGATTCTCACAGTGTTCCCATGATTTAGATGCATGCTATTTCACATGAGAAAACCATGCCCAGAGAAGTTAAATGACTTGTCCAAAGTTACGCTGTTGTGTAATGAGAATTATAGATTTGAAACTAACCCCCTCATTTTACAGATGAGTAAATTGAAGCTCAGAAAGTGTAAGTGATTTGCTCAGGGTCACACAGCAAGAAATTGTCCAAGGTAGGTTTTGAACTTAATTGTTCCCCTTCCTCAAGTTTAGTTCTTTATCCACTGTGCCACCTTAATCAGTAGCAGGACAAGAATTGGCTTACATCTTTTGATCTAATACTGCCATCATGTATCAGTAGTGACTCATTGGCTGGATTATGGAAGGGAAGGGAATAAGCATCTGTATAACACCTACTGTGTGCCAGGCACTGTGCTAAATGCTTTACAAATATTATTTCATGTGATCCTCACAGCCCTCAAGGAAAGTGCTACTATCATCCTCATTTTGCAATTGAGGAAACTGAGGCAAATAGAGGTTAAGTGAATTCCCCAGGGTCATATAGCTAGTAGGTGTCTGAGGCTGGATTTGAACTCAGGTCTTCCTGACTTCAGGATCAGTGCTCTATTGGTGTTTCATCTATCTGCTGTGATTATCAACCATACCCACAATTATTAACCAGGATTATCATCTTGCTTTCTGGAAAAATTAACTATTCTTTTTAGTAAATCTTACACAGAAGATAGGTGCTCTTCTCTTTTACTGTTTTAAGACTTAATGTTTTCTTTTCCCTTCAATTTCCAGAAGGTAGACGTGCCTATGATGTTGAGACACCTGAGAGAACAGAGAATGTTCATGATCCAGACCATCGCTCAATACAAGTTTGTCTACCAGGTCCTTATCCAGTTTCTCCAAAACTCTAGACTCATTTAATTTCTCATAAGATCCAGTTTTGTGTGGGAATGGGTCCTATAGAACCCTCTGGAATGAAAAGGCCTCCAGACAACATCTGGGGAGCCAGTATGGTGCAGATGGCTGGCAGCGAGCACACCCCAATCTCGCCAAAGTTAGGAGCTCAAGAGGTTCCTCAGGAGAGGAACATGAGAGATCATCATGGATTATTTTATATGAGATAATTTATTTTTTCCCTTTGGAATAACTTTTGTGAATTTCTGTAATATCTTATTGTACCATTTATAATGACTCTGTAGAACCACATTTTGACTGATCTGCACTGTAACTTCTTTGTGGGGAGGATTGCCTGGTGGGTCACCTTAGGGACTGAGGCTTAAGGTAGGAAGCACATCTTCTCATTTGTAGTTTTCTAACAAACTATAATTCATCATCAGTTACAATTGTTCAGATATGAAGAAGGCAAAGGAATTATTCCTTCACACACACACACAAAAGGAAAAGTCTTCCTGAAAGTAGAGAGTGATTTCGTTGTGCATTTTTTTTTAGGCAGTTGGAGTTAAGTGACTTGCCCAGGGTCACACAGCTAATAAGTGTTATGTGTCTGAGATCAGATTTGAACTCAGGTCCTCCTGACTCCAGGGCTGGTGCTGTATCCACTATGCCACCTTGCTGCCCCTCATTGAGTATCTTTGCTTCTTAGACTTGCTGGCTACTCTCTTCTTTCCTTTCTAATCTTCTTTTCATTACTGTCATTAGCCTCTCAGTTTCTGAGGCTAAGTTAGTGTTTGGGAAAACAGAAAAAAAAAATTCCTTCCTCTTGGTTTGAGCAGTACAAACTCCTAAGGTAGATACGGTACACTTGTCTCAGCCACCCACAATTCTGAGGTTAGTATTCTGTGTTTCCCTCCCTGGGACTATGTTTCTTGTAGTTGCTTCTTTTGGTGGGTTCATTTGATGAGCCCAGTGGCCTTTGGGGCACTCTGCCAACCCCATCTGTTCAGTCAGGCTAGCTGCCTGATTGATATCAGCTGATGGACCAAAGTGGGAAAGGAAGGTACTTGACATTTTTCGTTATTTAAATATGGTGGATAGGTGCCCGGTGAGGTAGGTGATAGGTGCGGTAAGTCTATCCATCAGTCCGTCAATAAGTTATTGGAAATGGTGCAAAGGAAACAGTTGGGCGATCTGATTTACAAAGCTTTTTGGCACTTGTATAGCTAGTCTCTTGGCAGGAACCCCCCAAAAAGCTTAACCACAGTATGTGTTAGTCATCCCTATCTTTCAGTGACCTGTAAGGACAAAAGCCAGGACAAAAGCTAGTCCAGCTCCACCGCCTATTCCTTTCCTGGAGATCTTATCCATGAATTCTTCTAGTGAAATACTGTCTTTAATTTTCATACATTCAGCACAAGCTAGTTCCATTACCACCCCTATCTTGAGATCTGTTTGGCATTCTATCTTATCAGTTGTACCATCACTACCCTTGTAACTTTCTTGCATCCGTATATTGTGTTTCATCTTGTTTATTCCTGGCATGGATTTAATTCAGTGCTTGACTAGACCTGTCTCTGATGTTCCAGTTCTTTTAGGAGACAGCCATATTGCAGTGCCATTACACACAAATACACACACACACACACACACACACACAAATCTGAATCCTTAATTGGTATTGGTGTTGCCTTGCACTCATTGTTCTTTACAGTGTATTTTTCCCTGGTCTGAAGGTGAACAGAAGGAATGTCCCCAGAACAGTCAGAAGTATTCATAGATATCTGTGAATTCATTGTTGCATGGTAGAAGCTATAAGTAGAACTTTAGAAATCAGATCAGAAAAGGAATTGCTGTTCTTGTCTATATAGCACTTTGCATCTTGTTGCATGTAGCAACTTCACTCATGTTTATTTCATTTCAGCCAATTGATTTGTAAATAAGAAAATGTGGGGTTATAAAACTCTTCTTCCTCCCCCGAAAAGGATCATGGGTTACTGAGGAGTGTAGCTTCCTGTAAACTTTGCCAGATTCTGGGAATCTTAGCATATGTGTTCCAAAATCAAAGCCATAAGTATTAAATATAGTATAGAAAGAGCACACATCAATTTTCCCACTGGACAAGGCTTTAGAACTAGATGATCTATTTATTTGACAGTCTTTGTTGTTGTTGTTGGGTTTTTTAATTTTTTTGTTTTTTACATTGCTTCAATGTATGATGATGAGAACTTTTTAAATTTAAGTTTGGTCCCCAAACTGAAGGACACCCAGAATTTGTTTACAAGAGGTCTCAAATGAATGCTTTTTTTTTTTCATAATTAGCTCCATTCCCATGAGCTTCACTTAAATTAGTCCATGGGAGCCACATTGAGCTCTGTTAATAGTCTTCAGTTCACCAAATGGAGGAGAGAAAGAGAGAGAATCACAAACTTTGTGGGTGGTGTTTACATCAAATAGCAAATAAATCCAAAGGAATGTTTTTTAAAAACCTATTCTATAGATTTTGTACATATTTTTTAAAAGTGCCTTTGGTCTTTGAGCACATTTTTCTTTTCTTTTCAGCTTTCTAGCAAATGCCAGCACATCTCTTGTTAAATTAGTGGCAACCGTTTAAAGTCCTTTTTGTGGCATCTGCATAATAATTGCCCAGAGATGCTTTATATCTGGGAAGCAGGCCAAGGAATAAACCTTGAAGCAAAGTGTATTAAATTAGTTATCTAGTTAGAGCTTTTGGAATAATTTCCTGATGATGTATCAAGTTTGAACCTCGAGCTGTCGGGTTCCATTGCTGCAGTTTGGATATGAAAGGGAGAGAATTAAATGGGGTTGGGAGAGGGGAGGTGGTGTGGGAGGTAGTGGGCACCAGCCTCCGGATTCAAAGCTTTCTGGTGAAAATGTTTGTTTCTTCTGCAAAAGCCTTACTTGTTTAGACAGATTTAAATGAAACAATGTGATCCATGATCCGCACATTAAAAAAGGAAAATTTAAACTAGGTAGTTATATAGATTTATATGTGCAGTGTATAATCATTGAGTGGAAGGGAAAATGTTAGTTGTCAACTCTCCCATATACATCCTTAGCAGACAGCAAGATCCCTGAGAAAATAAAAGGGAAGTAAGATGACTGATGTCTAGCATGCTTAGACTCTCCCAAGGCCGCTTTCCTTTTCCCAGTTTTTCGCTTTCATTATAATCTTACCATTTTTGGCCTTTGCATCTTTTTCTCTTCCTCTGTGTAGAGAGGCCTGGTGTTGCATATAGATGTCAGGAGAATCTAGAGGAAGAGTGAACTCATTGCTATCTTACAGCTGCCGCTGTTGAGTTTCCTGGGCCAAATTTACTATTGAGTTGATTAAGTTACTGAAAGCAGATTTCCTGCACAATAGAGAGAGACTGGAAAAGTCACTTTCTACTCTTTACTTTTCATAGTACTGTATGTATAAACTTGTAACTTTAAGAAACAGCACCTTAATTTTTGCCCCAAGTTTGAGTAAAAATAATTGCCTTATAGCCTGGAATAAATAGCCTTAATTTTTCAAAATTGTCTTCCAAAAAAAGTTATTTTTTAAATTGTGTTCCAGCCCAATGTTCTTATCAACACCTGGTCTTTAAATAGAGCCAGGGTAGGTAACTATCTGTATGTCATATCCCTTTTCATTCAGGTCATGTGACTTCTTGGGAAAAACTGTTTTAAACCATATTTTCCTGCAATTTATAAGTTTTTGAAATAGTGCTTGGTGCGTAGTAAGTGCATAATATATGCTAGTTTACTGACATGTGAAATGACTAAAATTCCCTCAAGAAACAACCAGGGGAGAGAAGGTTTTCAGAATAATCAATGAGGAAGAATATTCATTCGTTTAACATGTAGTTATTCAGTTCCTACTGTGTGTCAGTTAGTGATCTAGGCACTGCAGCCACAAAGACAAAGCATGAAATAGTTGTTGTCTTCAGAGAGATTCCATTCTAGTACATACAAATTGTAGCACAGTCACGTGAATGACTGACCATTCATTCACAATCACAGGACACCGTGTTGCTGTAGTAAGTACTTGTACAATGAATGAAGTTTGCTTAGGCTGGAAGCTTAAGATCTGTTCTCATTCTAACAATTCTTTGAGTCTGCCACACTATCCTCTCAGTTCTTACAGCTTATTAATAACACCATGATCCCTTTTATTCTTTGTCAAGTCATTTGAAGACACTTTGTCATGTTTATCATGATTCCCTAGCCAGTTAGGGTAAAGAGCAAGTATTTTGATTCTTACAACTCATGGCAAGACTTATGGGAAGCTGATCATTGTCCTATTGGAATTAAGTTACTTTCAAAGGAAATGTCATGCTTAACTAATTTGTGTGTGTTTGTAGACTGAGGATTACTTGTTTCCTTGGATTTTTATGCAAGTTAGTGATGGGGGGAAAGTACATTATTTATATACATAAAACTGCTTGGAATCCAGATCTTCAGTGTTTTCTGTGACAGTGATCAGCATGATACTGCTTTACTGTGCTGCTGGGTGAAGGTTACAGAATTGCTGTCTGATCAGAGAAGGTCAGGTAGACAGACACAACAAAACACAGAAGCTGAAATATAACAAGGACTCTGTTCAGTATTGCCCTTTCAGCATGTTTAATACCTAGTGGCAGGAAGGATTGAGAATTGATCAAACTTCACTTTTTTTTACTTAGAGACTTCTTGAAGGAGAAGCCTTTTTGCCCAAACATGAAATGCTTCTGTCAGGGTCCTTTGATATTTTTTTTTCCTCTGTAAAATGGGGGAGTGGGTATAGCTAATCTTCAAGACACCTTCCATCTCTAACTTTCTGTGAGTGAACTCCAGCTTTCTCTTCTGTCTTACTGAATAGCTGGCCACTTACCCAGTAGTGGTTGACTCTGTTGTAGCGTTTTAGTTTCAAGTATTTCATTAAAATATTGCCTAATATTCACTTAGCCTTTACTGTAGCTTCTTTTGTTTCTTGGGCTTCACAGAAATAAAAGCTCAGTTGCATTCAATGATGATTTAAAAAAAACATCAGGACCATATCTTTTTTTAGGGGGAGAGGAAGTAAGGGGAGAATAGACCAGTGATTTAATTTTGTGAAACTGGAAATTCCCTCCTCACCAATGCAATCTGTGATTCATTTGTTACTTAGAATCTTACAGACTTGCCTGGGGGCAATGAATCTAGTATATATATAGCTAGTATATAGCAGAGACAGAATTTGAACCCAGGTCTTCTTGACTCCAAGTCTAGCCACCTCGGTATGCCCCTGCTGCCTAATAAACTTTTCTTAGGTCATTGCTTTAGGTCTTCCCAAAATTTACTATTTCTCATTTCTTTCTTGACACTGGATTTTCTTTTAGATGAGTATATACTAATCATTTTCATCATCATCATCATCATTATCATCATCTTACTCATACTTTCAATAGCCCTGTGAGTTAAGCAGTGTAAGGATTATTATCCTCATCTTACAAATGAGGAAACCGAGGTTTAATTCAAACCAATTCAGTAAGCATTATTAATTGTAGAGTGAGAGATATCATGGAATACTGGATAGAATTCATCTGGGAGTCCACAAAATCTGAGTTCAGGTCCCTCCTCTGACATAT